TTTAGATATACTTTATACAAAATCTATTGGCCTTTATCTCTGTCACACAGTGGTTTCCATTATTCTCATGTTTGGAGACATTGATGACATGTTGATCAGATGCAGGCTGCAGCCCCTTTCAATCCTAAATGCACCGTAAAAAGCTTCTACGTCGCAGCGAATGACTCAACAAGACCTTGAATGTTCACATTACACAACACCGGGGACCACTGTTTGCCTCGTCAGCTGCGCACACACACACACACACACACACACACACACACAGTCATACATCTGCCATAGACCAAAAAGGTCAGGAGCTTTGAAGGTGAAGTGCAGTCACCATAGTAACTCGTGTTGACTCCCTCCGTCTCCCGGCAACGGGATGCAGGATGATGTCAATGGAAAGCATGCTATTTTCTACTGGTGACAGAATGATGTCACTCCTTTTGTGTACGCGAGGAGAGAGAGAGACAGAGAGAGAGAGAGAGAGAGAGAGAGAGAGAGAGAGAGAGAGACAGAGAGAGAGAAGAGAGAGAGAGAGAGAAGAGAGAGAGAGAGAGAGAGACAGAGAGAGAGAAAGAGAGACAGAGAGAGAGAGACAGAGAAGTGGAAAAAGAAGTTTGTAATCTGCGGGGCGGAGGCGTTTCGGTAGCATTCCATAGAAACAATAAAGAGACAAAGGCTAAATAGATTCCGAACACGCTGAATCATGAGCCAATTAAGAGGACAATTATCCTGTTTTGTTTGGTTGTTGTTGTTTTTTTCCGCCCTCCCTACAGTTCTTCTCCAGCTTCAGGGGATAAGTTCATATTTCTTCTGGAAGGTGGAGAGAGCGGATGATGCCCTGGCTCCCCTCATTCTGCGTCACTGCTTTTATGTTTTAAACCCGCATTACAAAATTATAATAGAGGGCAATGGTGAGATCAACCTTTTGATGAATGAATCGCAGAATTCCTGTCGATGCTTTCAGGGCAATAAAGTGGAGGTTTAAGGAGCATGTTTGCACACATACAGTTGTGGTCAAAAGTTTACATACACTTGTATAAAACATAATGTCATGGCTGTCTTGAGTTCCCAATAAGTTCTACAACTCTTATTTTTCTGTGATAGAGTGATCGGAACACATACTTGTTTGTCACAAAAAATAGTCATAAAGTTTGGTTCTTTCATAAATTTATTATGGGTCTGCTGAAAATGTCACCAAATCTGCTGGGTCAAAATATACATAAATTGTCAATTTTAGTGATGTAGAGTTGTGTCAATCAAATTAGCTTAATGTCATGGCCTCTTCACTTCTTGTAAGTGATTCTGATTGACTACATCTGTTCACTTCTCATGAGCCCATTGAAATAGGGCTCATTTGACCCAGTGATCAGACTCAGCCTCAAAAGCTACATTGGGAAAGTCAAATGAACTCAGTGTGGATCTGAAAAAGCGAATTATTGACTTGAACAAGTCAGGCAAGTCACTTGGAGCCATTTCAAAGCAGCTACAGGTCCCAAGAGCAACTGTGCAGACAATTATTCGCAAGTATAAAGTGCCTGGAACAGTTGTGTCACTGCCATGATCAGGAAGAAAACGCAAGCTATCACATGCTGCAGAGAGGAGATTGGTCAGGATGGTCAAGAGTCAACCAAGAATCACCAAAAAGCAGGTCTGCAAGGATTTGGAAGCTGATGGAACACAATTGTCAGTCTCCACAGTCAAGCGTGTTTTACATCGCCATGGACTGAGAGGCTGCCGTGCAAGAAAGAAGCTCTTGCTCCAGAAAAGGCACCTTAAGACTCGGCTGAAGTTTGCTGCTGATCACATGGACGAAGATAAAACCTTGTGGAGGAAAGTTCTGTGGTCAGACAGAACAAAAATTGAGCTGTTTGGCCACAACACCCAGCAATATGTTTGGAGGAGAAAAGGTGAGGCCTTTAATCCCAGGAACACCATGCCTACTGTCAAGCATGGTGGTGGTAGTATTATGCTGTGGGGCTGTTTTGCTGCCAGTGGAACTGGTTCTTTGCAGAAAGTAAATGAGATAATGAAGAAGGAGGATTACCTCCAAATTCTGCAGGAAAACTAAAGACCATCAGCCCGAAGGTTGGGTCTTGGGCGCAGTTGGGTGTTCCAATAGGACAATGACCCAAAACACACATCAAAAGTGGTAAAGGAATGGCTAAACCAGGCTAGAATTAAGGTTTTAGAATGGCCTTCCCAAAGTCCTGACTTAAACCCCATTGAGAACATGTGAACAGTACTAAAGAAACAGGTTCATGCAAGAAAACCATCACATTTAGCTGAACTGCATCAATTCTGTCAAGAAGAGTGGTCAAACATTCGACCTGAAGCTTGCCAGGAGCTTGTGGATGGCTACCAAAAGCGCCTAGTTGCTGTGAAAATGGCCAAGGGACATGTAACCAAATACTAATGTTGCTGTATGTATATTTTTGACCCAGCAGATTTGGTGACATTTTCAGCAGACCCATAATAAATTTATGAAAGAACCAAACTTTATAACTGTTTTTTGTGACAAACAAGTACGTGTTCTGATCACTCTATCACAGAAAAATAAGAGTTGTAGAACGTATTGGGAACTCAAGACAGCCATGACATTATGTTTTATACAAGTGTATGTAAACTTTTGACCACAACTGTATCTCACATATGTGTGTGCAAACATATGTGAGATATGTTTGCACACATGCAGACAAACAGGCTGGACAAGGAACATTCCCCCTCCTCCCCCCCATAGATGACTGTCTCTGTAAACACCTGAGGACACTTGGAAACAACTACAAAGTGAAACTATGACACTCTTTGCCGCCAGTCATAAATGACATTAAACTGAGTCAGAAATCTACCCCGCGCTCTGAATCCATAAACATTTCCAGTTCTTGAATGATAGAAATGATGATGATGATAATAATAATAATAATAATAATAATAATAATAATAATAAATAATAATAATATAATAGCATGTAGATGCCTGCAGGCTCTGCAGGTTAAATTCAAGAATCTTAATATTTGTGTGTGCAAAGTTTAAGTCCTGGATGCTCATCGTGAGGAGCCACTGCAGAAAAAGGGGGACCTGTTGTCCCCCCACTCCAGCTGAAGTCTCTCCTTCTCTCTCTGTAGCATCACATCTATATTTAACTGAACCGCAATACCGCAATGTCAGTGTATGGACTGAGGAGTAAATCATCTTTTTTTCCATGTATAAACCATTTTTGGTGGCGATTTTTCACACTGAGCGCTGCAAGGATTGAATAAACTTGGTTTTTACCTTCTACTTTAAAAAAAAAAAAGAAAAGAAAAAAGCAGCATTTCTTTTCTTTAGCTCTGAATATTTACTTGATTCTGAATAATCCCTGAGAATATTCCTTTATCCCTTCCACAGAGAGACATTAACAGCGTGTTTGAGGAGTGCAGTGAAACATGTCACTTTGCCAAGCAGCCGCATTTCCAGCAGAGAACGTCTTGAAGGTTTTCCCTCAGTATTCTGCTGCCCCCTATCGGCCTACATTGTACCTTTTTCTTCCTCGTAAACGCTGATCAGTCATGTCAGGAAAAGGCCCGACTCAACAATGAGTAATTGAAGCGTCTTTTATGAATAAAATAGAAGGACGTAGACTCAGCAAGACCACAAATTTATTTAGAAATCACATTCAAAAAAATCTGATTATAGCCACAGCAAAAAAAAAAAAAAAAAAAAAAAAATTATAATACAAAACAGATAAGTCAATTTGTCTGTGAATAAAATGCAAAACCCGAACAACATAATATCATATAGTATTTCTGTGACTGTGGAAACTACTCTGCATGCAAAAATAATTCACTGTGTGACCAGCAAAACTTTTAAAGATCTTGAAGGTTTGGCATTTGATGACAACTTTGTAAAACATTCATAAAAACAGCATCAGTCGCAAGTTTATATAAGCCCACGAATATTTATTTAGGACATCTAATTCTTTATTTCAGGGTGGAATGACCATGCAACTTCAATGATCATTTTAATTAACACAACTCACTCTTGATTTTTTTCTCTAAACTCTACATACATCACCATTGGCTTCTGGCTCAATGTTATTTATTAAGATTAAGTTGCACCTAAAGCAAATGTCTCCTGTCTGGCACAATTTCAGCTAATAGCTGATCATTCTTTGTATTAGAACTGATTTTATTTCAACTGGTTGGTTTCTCGGCATATGCCTGACTTTTAAGCATCATCCACACATTCTCAAAAGTTTCAAGGCATGGGTCATATAAGAAGTTAAATTTTGTGCCTGCATTATTCATTAGTAACCCAATTTTAATGTGTGGCAGGGATCATTGTCCAAGTTTCAGCCAGTTGGTTTCTGGTGAAGCTGCAGATGTTGAAGCAAGTCCTGTCTTCGTCTTTCCATCCACTTTGCAATGCACTGTTACTACTGGCACGCCACGCCCACCGTTGTCCAAAATGCACAACTGCAAAGGACTGCTTGGATGCGGCACCACATGACCTTGTCGGTTTACCAAAAGGTCATTTGACGAAGGATATTTGTTTCTTGTCTTATATTTTCACATCTGATCTAGTCCTTTGTGACTGAAACATTAAGAGTCGGGGGTCGCCATGATTGGTAAACAAAGAGAAGAGTGAAAAGTCCTAGCATTGTCCAGTCATATCAAAATTTAATGTCTTCATTATATCTGTGAACATTGTAAACAGTTTTCTTCCATCTTATGTTCCAACAAGACCCCAAACACACATCCAGCCTGGAATGGAAACAGCAGGACACCATCAAGATTCTGAAAACGAGAAACAAGTTGTCCTCAACTCTTTGAATTTAAAACCTTACACTTGCTCCATCATTTCTGCCAAGAAGAGAGGCCAGTGGCTCCAAAACATGGCTTTGTGTTGAAACTCTCAAAATGAATTTAACCAAATAGTACTGGGGGAGATGTGTGGGAATAGTGCGTATATATCTGAGCCTAAATGCATAATTTTGAACCTTCGTAAATCAGAAAAAAAGAGCAATAATTTCAAACTTGTGCACCAAATTGTTAAAATTTATTGACTAAAAATGTCCAAACTTATGACATTTGTCACGACGATGAAGAGCATTACGTAAACTTCTAACCAGCACCATATCAAACTGCACCCCAAAATAGTCTAACATTAACATGACATGTCATAAAACAAAAAACAAATTTCATACAATTTGATTATAAAAACAGAGTCCAAAAATAAGGGCAAAGTACCCTATTAAAGCTCGCCTGGCTTTTGGTTTTTATAAAACAAGTCATCTGATGACAAAATATGTCCCAAGCTGGAGGTTATACAAAGTGTGGGTCATCATGCTGAAGGCAGCATTAGCAGAGAGCTTGTGTTTAAAAGGGCAAACTTTAATATTCTGTGTTTAGCTTGGAGTCACAGCTACTTTCAGATGTCACTCACCACTTTATAAACCAGGACTTCTAAACAAGAAGGATGTCACAGTGACACTTTGCTCTTCACACGGCACACAGGCAGACCCAGAATCCATGGTAACAACTCCAACGGTACCACTTTCACGTCATGAGCAGAAGCTGCGGAGGTCACTTTCTGTAGGTTGCATCAATCAAATCGTATGTACACTATCGAAGCAGGCGCTGAATCACTATTAAGCACAAAGAATATTAAAATATGACATCATTCTGTGCGGTCCTCATTGTATCTCTTGTATGAGAACGGAGATCTTGAAACACCACTACGTCCATTAAACTAGAAGCTAAGAAGAAAAAAATGCAGCCGATGGAGAATAAACAGCCATGTCGGCGTCTGAGATCCATTCGATGTGAAGAAGGGATGGTCCCACAACACAACACAACACAACACAGGAGCACAAATATCACAAAAATCAGAAGTAGAGGCTCATTTTACAACGCTTTGCAAAGAGAATCAGCTCTCTCTGAATTCAACACTTTAACTCCATAAATGGAAACAGCACAGTCATGTCCATGTTTCCTTCATGGACTCAAGTCAGCATCGACTAACTGAGTCCATGAAGTTAGTAAACTCAGTGATCATGCTTATGCAGGTGAGTGAAGGGACACCTCGTTACAGCTGCGGTGAGGGACTTTGGAAATACTTTGGGGGGTGCCTAGCCAGCACACAATTTATTTTATTTCTTTTTTAAAAATCGCCAGAGGTCAAAGATCAAGAAAGGAGAGGGAAGCTGAAGTCAAAACCTCACAGGTTCTCCCCTGTGTCCAGCTGGTGATGTGTGCAGCATGGAGAGGAGGAAGGAGCAGAGCGGGAGGGCGGGGGGCAGGTCCGGAGCTCAGGAGTTGTCCGAGGGGACGTGCTCCTCGAAGCCTTCGCTCTCCCTGACCAGCGCCCTCTCCAGGATGACGCGGCCCTCTTTGTACCGCTGACTGTCCTCGGTGGCAAACTCGTAGATCCAGCCCAGCTTGCTGTTGCAGTTCTTGCAGCTGACATCCCGCACCATGTGCCTGCCGGTGAGCATCACTCTGTCCTGCACTTCGCTGTACTGGAGGTTCACCACCTGCGGAGGTGACAAAGAAGCCTGTTGTTGTGGTTCCGAAGCTTTGCAGTTCTGTTGAGATGATATTCTTCATTGGCATTAATATCAGGTTATAGTTACAAACTAGTATCAAGAAATTGGTGTGGAAGTGAATTACTGTCCAAGCTTTAAATATTTTCTTGCTGATTTTAGGTCGATATGAAGGATTTGGTTGTATTTCTCTATACTAGTTATTCCATCGTCTTTGTTTAAAACACAGACACCACTGGAAACAAATGACCCCACATTATGTTTTTTTTGGGATTGCAGTCCCTCCTCCAAACATCCTTCCTATCACTATGGACAAATATGTTCGTCTGTCTGACAAAAAAAATAGAAGGATTTGTTTCTACTTTAAAGGTGATCTTTTCACAGTTCCTGTTGATGTTAAACAACAATGTTCTTAGTATACTGCAGTTCTGGACAGAGTTGAGTTTTAGTGCTAGTGATCCTCGAGTGAAAATTAGATCAATCTAACTAATTTTCTTTCATACAAGATTAATAGTTTGAGTGAAACAGTTTAAATTTTGGTTCAATTTGGGTTTTCCAAGCAGTTAAGAATTACAAACACATATTAAAATGATTTTGACCTTCTCAAATGGCTATAACCTCTACCCTCTTGAAAAACATGTTGACTATCCTTTAAGGTCTGCCACAGATTCAACAGATTTGAATGAGTACTCCTATTTCTGAGAGAACAGGTCAAATGTTCAGCCAGAATTGTCCAGAAGTTTAAAAATCTGTGTATTGTTTTGCTAAAACTCGGTAAGGAACATTCAACAAAGCATTAGTAGGGCATATGTATAATTTTAAGCTCAGAAATAACAGAAAATATAAATTCAAATTTCTGCACGTAATCTTTTTTAATGAACTCAGTGAAGCTGTATATTATGAGTACAATCTGCATAAAGAGCAGTTCAAATAAACCATTAAAAGCTCCCAAATTAATCAGAAATCTATACTGTTGACACAGTGTAAGCCTCTGAAGTTATATGTGTGCGTACCTTATTGAAGAGGAAAGCTCTGCCTGTGGCTCCTGTGAAGCGTGTGGAAATGAGTTCGGAGCGATTCGTCAGGATGGTATCGCAGTTGGCGCAAGAGAAGAGGCGTGTCCCGCCAATATGATCCAGGAAGATGCGTCCCATTTTCTGGTTCAGAATACAATCACCAGAAATAGAGCACAAGAGAAAATGGACAGGAAATCATAAGCAAGCACATTAAATGAAGTCAACTTTGACTCTTTTTAAATGTTATTAGTCTATGTGATTTATCATAAATAAGTATCTTCCAGAAGATCAACTGGTGTGAAGCAAATGAATCCATAACAACAGAAAATTGGGACATATTTTGCTATTTTTTAATATACTATACTCTAGGTATACTATTAACTAAAAAAGTATATTATTAACTACACTCTGCTGGAATCTATCTTAAATTCCAGATGAAAATAGGCAATAAAACGCTTATAATAAGAAATATTTAAGGTTGATCTGTTTATGATTATATGTGGAAAAATCCATAAAACAGGAGTTTATTATTAAAATGACAACCTAACAGTCTTGTTTGCAAACCACTGAAAGCTGATCTCATTATTTCACGTTTTTTTCTTTAGAAATAATGTCTTACCTTTCTCCACTGTGTCGCCCAGCCTGCTTTTGCTGCACTGGAAACTTGTGCTTTTGCATTTCAAGCCATATTATCTTTATTAACCGCGCATGTATTTAGTATTTAAAGACTATTTAATATAAAGCTGAAAATGTCCTACTTCTGAAGACCAACTATGCATATATTTTAAAGGTGATCCATTTTCTTTGTGTGTTTTTTCTTAAGCTGAGCTCTATGTAACATGAACGCCTTACTTGTGAGGTTTTCAAAACATTTCAGTCCTTGAGGAAGTCAGTGGAAGCAAACATCAGGCTAACCGCTCAGCTAACGACGACAACAGGCTAGGAGCAGAAAACAACAACAACAAACGAACATTTCAGCGTCGCTCCGCACCAACAGCTTCCTACCTTTCAAAATGCGGTTTCAGTGGCTCTGTAATGTTCGTCCCGCGATTTTGTCATCGATATTTACCCTGTATTGTGTGCGCAAGTGTTTTGTTTTCGTCGTCGTCGTGGCTTTGTTTTTCTTTTTCAGCTGTTCCTGTCTGCGTTCCGCTTTCAGCCAGTATCAACATCCGGTTAGGAGAGAGAGAGAGACAGAGAGAGAGAGAGACCGCCGCCGCCGCTGCTGCTGCCGCCGCGCCAACATGTTGTTACTTCTATCCGCCGCCAGGCGTCGCAAGAAATCCAACCACCGGGAAATCAAGATGCAGAAGCATAACGATGACACGCCTCAAAGTGAGAGAAACACAAAAACCTGTCATAGTAACTCAGGTCAAAGCAAAAATCACAGAGGCTTCTAAGAAGCTAATCCACCAGTTAAGCACTAACTATTATTATTTGTCTCGTGTCTAACACCAGCAATTAAATTTACTACATGACAGAATACATTATTCTTTGGCCCTCACATGCAGGGGCTGCCAGGGATCTTGGGCTTCATGACAAAAAATTTAACTGGGTCCTCCCACGCAGCTGCTGTTGCAATTTCTTGACTCTATCTGACCCATAAAAAGCGTCACAATTTTAAAGAATTGCTACTGCCGTGCTCTCTTTGGTCCAATACTGACAATTTTTACTGCTCATGAATTTTACATGCAACAGCCTGCATACAGTGTGCAAGTAGGTTGCTCACATTTTTTAAAATTAGTTTATATCACTGAAATGTCTCTCCCCAAGAGCAACAGTCACGGGCAACGTGCAAAATAAACATGAAGCAATCCAGACTTCTCAAAAACGGCTATGTTGTTGCATTTTATTCAAGCTGCAGTGTGTAACTAATTAAAAAAAATGTTTTCTCCATATTTGTTAAAGCTGGCACCATGTCGTGACAGTTTGTTATGAGACAGATAATCTGTGAAAGCAATCAATCTCCTCCACCTCCTCCCTGAGCTGCTATTGCCAGATATAGCAATGCAACTTTCCAGCCAAAACAACCAATCAGAATCAGTAGGACGCTCTTAGTGACGTCAGTCAACCTCATTCACTCACTGTTAAATGCACTCCTGTAACTTATTGTTACAGAAAAAATTACAGTTTTAACAAATATGTAAAACATTTTTTTAAGTTACATACTGTAGCTTTAATTTCTCTTAGGAGAGGACAGGTCAGGGGGGATGTGGTTTAGAGCTGCTGACTCATCTGTTGTTAAGTGTGGTAAAAGGTACAGGGACAAGTTCAATATATGAATATGTTGGTAATTTAATTTCTTAATTCATTAACTGCTTGTGAAATGGAGGCAAACAGTAGTCTGTAGCTAAGCTACCTATGCTGAATGGTTGATAATCTCACAGTCTGCCCACATTTCAGAGAACAACTGGGTGACAAATTGACACTTTCACCTTTTTCTCTCTCTGTCTCTAATTTTTGAAAACCTAACATTATTATTTTTCTTAGCAGCATAGCAACAGCCACAGTGGTTCTTGTCTTCCACTGACTGCTGCTGAACACCATCACTGTCATTTCATGCAGATCCGGGGGGATTCAGGGCAAATGTGCTTTTTGGTCTGGGAGGGGTGACATTTAAATTTTACATCTAGAATTTTTTTTACATTTCTATGAACAAAAAAATAAATAAATAAAAATTGTGGAGGGCTTCCTGCTGGTGAGGGGCCCTTTGAATTCTCATAACCTTTCCCATTTCCATTTGAGATGTGTATGTTAATAGTTCTTGTCTTTTGCGCCTCTGTTTAGCAGTTTAGGACTGATAGTCAGAGGGAGACTAATGAGGATGGTGCTCATGTGATGTTTGATGCAGCACATCATAATATAGCAGGGAGGTTTTCTCTTCAGAGACTCGTGATAGACTATCAAAAGTCCATCTAAGGGCAAACATCATAAAGTTTACAGTAATCTAATTGCATCTCATCTTTTCCAAAAATAAGCCCCATTTGATTTTATACGATTATAAATCCAAGTTGGAATAGATGCAGCATCAGCATGAATTAAAGTTGACTTTATATGGCGGCACTGGATTTTATGTTGTGATATCAGAAAACAGGAGGCTGCATACAAATGGGCCCCACATATAATCCTTCTCTTTTCATTTAACATTTTATTCTGTTTAAATTAAATAAAGTTTGTGTTTATGCTGTGGAAAATTAAAAGAATGAGATCAATTTAACAAAGATCTATATATTGTTCAGTCGTTTAAGATCAATGTTTTATTTCAACTGCAAGGTCTTTAACCTAACTTTATTCTAATGTACAAAGTCTGTGTAGGACTCAACATCACTGTGATAAGCAAAGAGTAATATTTATTATCATTAACATTTATTCTAGCTTTCGAATTGTGCTGTTTTATTTCTCTCTTTTCCTTGTTCAAAACCTCGCCCTCTTGGGAGTCTTCGCCATCTCCACACCCTCTGCAGGTGGGGTGTACATTTACAGTGAATGAAAGCTCACAGTCATTCTTCATCTGAATCTGAGCAGGAGGGGAAAAAAGAGACTCAAACAGTTCTCCGTGTGCCCTCCATCTCTCTGCATCATGGCCGCAGCTGCCATCCTGGTTCTGGCAGTCCTTGGATTCTGCAACACATTCATGGGTAAAGAACCAAGTTTTCCTGTTGAAGTAGAGCATTCAATTTGTACAAAGATTCTTGTGTTTACTGAAACTTGTGATATCAGAGATCTGGAAACTAAATAGCCAACCGGCTCTTTAAGAGCAGTCAGAGACTGTTTGAGTTTGACGTTCATAATCGTTAAAGGTTTACAAGTTCTTTACATTTAATGTTTTACCAATGTTACAAGATACATGTAGCGTTGGTGACGTGGTGTAAATTTACAGCATCTCTCTTATTTAGAGATAAATATCTGAGGACTTCTACCAGCATTAGCACACCATGAAAGTTCAACTTGTAAAAGTGTCATGACAAAACTCCACAAGGATTTCAATTCATCTGTGTTTTTTGATTACGTGTATTAAAAATTCAAAGGGCTGTTTTCCCACAATAAAATAATAATCTAGCCCTTTGTCACAGTTGGGGTTGGTGTGGATTTGCAAGAAAATGGACCCGCAAAACACGAATTAAAGGAGGTATCGTAATTTGTCGTTCTCTATAAGATGAATGTATCACTTTCTATGTCCTATTTTTGATGTATTGCTCAACTACTCAATAGTGTTTTTCTGCTGCAGACAGAACGTTTCATGTCAATTCTTTGCACAGCACTGCCTGGCTCTCTGTCCTCTTTCCCATCAGGTAAAGCAGTGCTACATTTACTGAGGAAGTTGTGCTGTTGCTTGTATGAGAGATTTGCTTCTTCGGGAACTCACAATTCTTCAGGAAGTTGTGACATTTCTGATTTTTGTTTTTCCTTGTCATCAGTTCATACTCTCACACCAGCTCACATCGCAGGCCTTTACACCCTGGGAATGCCTCTATCCCACAGGTACATGCACCGTCTGTAGTAAAACAGACAGACACTGACTTTAGTCTTCAAAGATACGGGCCTGTTACTGTCATCAAAAAATGCAAAATAGTTAAGCAAAACAAATTACAGATTGACATAAATGTTGCAGCAAAAAGTTTCTTCTTTGCTTTAAAATGAAGGTAAAGAAAATGCTGATGTGCATTTCAGGTCAGTAGACTGAAAGTAGGATGCACACTGGCTTTTAATGTGCAAGAAAAACAAATTTGGTAGTTTGAAGATATTCACAATCAACTGTAAATAGTTCACACACCCTGTCGTGGTGTGCAAACAACACTGTGAATGTCCACACAATTCTTCTATTGGAGTGAACTTCCATTTGTTTTAAAACTTCCATTTGTAAACAGCAATCCGTAGATTGCAGGCTGACAACTAGCTCATTTCAGCTTGTTATGTTTGTTTCTCAATAAAGAGCAAAATAACAAGAACGTACAAGGATCTGCACATTAATGTTCATTGAAAAATATGTGTAACTTTTGTAACTTTTATGCTGTATTTTTGCTTTAGTCTAAGTATTAAAATAAATTGACCAATAAATAAATGTCGCAGATAATATTTTGACTTTATTAGTCGACACTGTGAATGATTGCCACTTTTCTGTTTGACATAAAAACAAGTAGAGAACATAAACTCATAGTCTCATTAATAGTTAGGCATTTTGACAAAATTGTGACTAAGTTTGCAGCTTCTTATGCCATGCATTTTTTTTAATTATCAGGAATGAAGCCTCCACAGTTGTCAAGAGGCTGAGAGGTAAGGTTAATCAAAACAATGCTTTGCCACTAGGTACTCTTCCGATTATTTATTAGAAGGTATTTCATTCAAGGTTGCCGGAAAGTTCACATCAAGTGCAGCTCTTATCACGTCAATGTTCTGATTAGGATGCACTTTAAAGAAAAAGTTATCTGTATGGATATGACAGTCAGCCATAAACCCATAACACTGACCTTCAAGCCACATAATTATGAACACGCCATGATTACAAGTATAAAACTTTTCTGTTTGCTGAGATCTTACAATGTGCTGAAACTGCTTTGTCACACCAAGTATTTTATTTAATGTGTTTTGTTTGTACAGAGCTGTTTTCCATGTTTAATCCCAAAGTGGTCTCTCAGCATGAGGATCAGATCTCTTGGCACCACGGGTAACACACAGGCATCAACCATTCAAGTGCTTGCATGTGAAACTTGTACTATTCCTCATGTGTGGCGGTAATGTGTTTCAGGAGTTTAATACAAGAGACAGAAGACCTTTCCTTTTACCTTTCCAAACAGGTATATTCAGTCTATTCATGCAAGAAAGCCGTCATGAGTTCAAAGCATTTAATTTATTTGTATTGAATCAAATACAAATAATTTGTATTTGGCTTTATGTCCTAGGAGGAGACAGAATGGAACATTGTGCTGTTGTTCATCCCTGTAGATTTAACATGTGCCTGTTCAACAGATGTGAGGCTTCTTGTGTCAAATCTACAAAATGATCTATTTTACCCTTTGAAGACAGTGTGTATTAAAGAGGTGTGTGTTTCTTTGCATTATAGGTTGTTGAAAACATTAAAACCACAGTTCAGGAAGTGGACGCAGCTCTGAGGATGCTGCAGAAGCAGGTGTGATTTTGATGTTCCCTAAAACAGTGGGAAAAAAATGAGAGACAATAACTGAATACTTTTACGTTGAAAATGTGCTTCCAGGTGCATCACGCTATGGTTCGTGTAGTGGTTTGGAGTGAAAATCGTCAAGAAGATAGGTGAGTGTTTGACAAAAATCAGTTTAAAGCATTGCTCCTTGTTAATAAATATGGGTGCAGTATAATGCAAACTGTATAATTGCAGTTCGCATGCAAAAGTGTTAGTAAAAAAGTGTTAAGGAAGTAATAAAAATGATTAATTATTAAAAGTAGCAAGAAATACAACATGTTTCATTGTTTCTTTATGCAATAAACCAAGATAATTCAAAGTGCTTTTGAAAACAAACAATAAACAACAAAAAAAAAACATAAATATTACATCACACTGGCAAAATACGGGGAAATAATAAATGTTATAATCCATACTAGAAAAAACAATCGAAGATCACACTTTAAAAATCAAAGTCAACTCTTACCAAGTTGATTTTTAGCCTAGCTTTTACAGGAAGTCAGTGTTTCAGCCATTTTGCAGTTTTCTGGAAGATTGTTTAGAGGACATCCTGGTGTTACAATTATACTGTGGAGTTCCTTTTCATCAGCAGCAAGGCTGTGGCGAGGATATGGGAGATGGAGGGAGCCAAATGTACACCTGTTACTTCTCACATATCTACTGGGCCTTAATTATTTCAAAATCATTTAAGAATCATAGATATACGCCCCATCAGACCGGCAGATGATCTGATGAGAAATATATCAGACCCCATCAGACCGCAAATGTGCACAACCCTTTTCACATTTCTATGTGGAGAAAATTTTTTAAAAACGCATCATTTGTCTTTTGCTTTATAACGGTGTTAAACTTTGTGTTCATCTACTACTCAAATCCTATAAAAATACATTTAAGTTTATACAACACAAAATGAGCAAAACTTCAAGATGAGGGATTTTCTACAATACATGCCTATAAGCTGTGAAGGATTGTCAGATTTACATGTTTCCTGTTTTTGCTTTGTGGCAGGTGTGCTTGTGCAGAAGAAGGTATAAATCCAGGTCTGCAGAAAGCGTTTCTACTAAAAGCACTGCAGGTACAGCGCTGTAGTACATGACATTGTAATGTGCATTAGTTTCTCAGAGCTATCTTCATACTTGTGTGTTTAATCTGCTTTCAGGACTCTGTAAGTGATCTGCTGAAAAATCCAGCTCAGTACAGCCGAGGTGAAGACTTCACCGTTGCACTACAGTCTTCACCAGTTATCCTTGAATCCTACTCAGATTCTGTAAGTGAATAGAAATCAACACTAACTATGTGTCATAGCTATCTGTGAGCTGTGAACCATGTGTTTTCTGTACCATTGGATAAAGACTATGAGCTAATGTGTAATTTATATGTGATGTATCTTTCTTTGAAGGAAATCACTGACTCCCATATAAATGAAATGGCTCTTCAGCTGTGGATTGATTTGGTGAGTTCTCATAAATGAATGAGAAACAATCTCAATTTAAAGAACAGTTTGTGCCATCATGTCTGGTATTCAACAAAACAACGTGCTGTGCAGAAAATAGGACACAGTCACTAAAACCCAAAGGAAGATTGAATAATGATTAGACAGTCTGACTGATTAGATAACAGATGTAAAGATTAATCTTGTGAGATTAACATTGGGTTGTGTTTCCCATACTTCTTTAAATCTGTGTGGTCAGGTAAACAGAGCATACGTGTCATCGCTTTGATTAAACATACAATTACAAAAAATAATGACCCCGAAATTTTAACTAATGATAGATTTCTTCTATCAGCTCCAGCCCTCAATGCACCAGACAGAAAAGAATGATCTCATCACCATTCCCTGCCCTACGGAGGTAAGGTAAACCATTAAATCCCATTTTCTAAGACTGAACTTGTTGAACACATTTAAAAATTTCCAGGAAAGGCCTTTTCTTCGAACATACGTAAACACCCCCAATGGAAGAGAACACGAGAATGTTGCTAGCAAAGCCTCTGCACCGATAGATCCTGTAAGAGTTTCTTTGATAAGATCCAAACCAAGTTTGTAGATAAACAGAGACTCTTCTTTAGAATAATGAGAGATTGTCTCTGTTGTCAGGTTACTGGCACTGAAGTGCTCTGCACAGATCGAAATCCTTCTCCCACCACACCTACATCAGGTAAAGGATTTATTTTTAAACTTAAAATCTGGAAAGCACTTGATTTTAGGCTATTTAAACTGAGATGTTATTTTTCTGTGCAGTTCACAACGTCAGACCTGCGGATATCAAGGTGGTGGCAGCTGTGGGTGATTCACTGACAGTGAGTGTTTTTCATCTTTTTTCATGTCAGCAGCTAAGTTAGCTGCATAAATCTGTCCATCCACAATTGTTATTGGGCAACGTGATGATGATAAAGAAAGACAGTATTGAGGGTCAATGTCATTATCATAGTACTAAAAATATTATCACACTGACATGTTACACAAATGTTTTTCAGTCATTTTAGGGACTTTTACGTTGATTTTTAAGTCAAGGTAACGATTTTGATGAGAGACAGGGATGCTGGGAGCAGAGAGCCACATATTACACCATAATATTGAAAAGCGATTTAAACTTATTGGGAAGGCAACCAAAACAGATTTCACTGTATCTCCTTTGTTTGCATTGGTTGTTTCTGTGATGCTACACATCTGATATCATTCCAGGCAGCCAATGGTGTCGGTGCAAAAGAAGATAACCTCTTGTTGGTCACTTATCAGTATCGAGGACTGTCATGGAGGTAAACTCTGTACTTTGTTGTATTAATGATTCTTATTTCGATGAGCTAAGATTTAAGTGAACAAAGGTTTGTTTCTGCAATATTCAGCATTGGCGGAGATGACGACATATCCAATGTGACAACTTTACCAAGTATGTTTGTTTTCTATGTTTTATTTTAAAATATTTAACAAACATGTATTTGCTATATATTTACAAACTCTAAGTGGTAGCTTGTCTTGGAACCACTTCCAAGACGAGCTACAGGTCCTAGGATGTACTGTTTACGTCACAGGTAAAACTGAAACTAAAACAATTTAGTAAATCACAATTAATACAATATTTATCAAGAAGGCAATACTTTCCCCCAAGTCCAGATTGTTTGACATTGATTTCCCCACCCCACAAATTAAATCACCATGTTAAGATTTTTGTACTCAGGTTTTCTTTGTCTGAATTTTAAAGTTGACTGATGACTTGAAATATTCCAGCGTCAAATAAACGGCTCGATCAAAGTATTATTGTAATAATAATAAAAAGAAAACCACTTTTCTTCTGTTGCTGTTTAAACCTCCGACATTTATGGTGCCCTGATGGATGACCTCCGCACACATCAAATACACGTGCGGTATGGTAGCCTGATAACATCGCAGATCTTTGCCTTTAAGCTTTGCGCTGATAACAAGCTGGAATTAATATTTAATATGTTACATCAATCAAAGTCACACATACAATGGACGCATAAGTCTAGTTCAGACATCAGTGTGTGTGTTCAATTATTTGACTTTTATTGCAGTTACCTATCAGCCTAGAATTTAAAGCTATATTAAGTATTTTTTTTTTATCTGTATTGCATTAAAACCATTGCTTATTTCAATAATTTATATAAGATGACATTGGCAACTCATATGTGTTTTTATTTCTATTTTTAATTCTTAAAACAAAAACTGCAATTTAAGTGGCGAAAACATGTTATTTATGAAGTTGTATAATTTAATGCAGATACACATTTATTGGGAACAATGATGAACACAATATTTTTTCAGAATATTTTTATTGCAGTCAAATATTCCCACAATATTGAAACAAATAATTTATTTATTTTCAGTATTTTTTTTTTTTTTTTTTTTTTTTGTAAATTCATTGAATACAAAAGCAAAAGTCCTGAGCCAATTTAATTTGACTGCTCTTCTAAAACATTCAGTGTTGCCCCAGGATTAAACATGGATTCTCCATTAATGTTGATGTAGCTGTGTATTGTTTAATCATTTTTTTCAAATCTTTGCATTTTGTTAAACTAAAAAGTTAATCACCACAATTTTTCCAGTAATGGTACAGATGATTATTAACTCACTTGATAATATTCTGTTTAAAACAAAACCAATTTCCTGAGGGAGTCTTCCCAAGGGATCAATAAAGTACAAGTCTAAGTCTAGGAGCCCCAAGTCATTGAAATGACCAAACAGAGCATAATTATTTATCTGTATCTATAAGCCGCAGCAAAGCATTTCTTTTTTAAAATCTGTTTGAATTATTTTTTGTAGACATCCTGAGGGAGTTTAACCCCAATGTGACTGGATTCTCAACGGGCATCGGAAACCAGGACAGTCCAGGGGCTTTTCTCAATCAGGCTGTAGCCGGAGCACAGAGTGTGTCAGTATTCCAGACATCTGAAATATTACTTAGCTTTTTATTTCCTCCCATTATAAGTGCATGTGTTGTAATCTTATCATATCATCTGATTGTCTTATTGAACTTTGTCTTTTTTTACAGTAACATGGTACAACAAGTACGCACTCTAGTGGCCAAAATGAAAAATGACCCGGTATGGAAGGAAGTGTTATTTGCAACTTTATACAACGTCTTATTGTCACTGTGCTGTTTTGTTCATGTATCATATCACAATCTTTATATATGGTCTTCTTCAGCGCATTGATTTCTTCAATGACTGGAAGGTGATCACCATGTTTATTGGTGGTAATGACATATGTGCCTATTGCACAGACAGTGTAAGTGCTTTCTCCTCACACGTTTTGAGACTTGATTGACACCTGGTTATTTTTAAGACATAAACAACCGTATCTCAATTTAAAGTTGTGTAATTAATGATTTACATTAGATTCAATATGTTTTCACTTACATTATTTTACATTGTAAGGCATGGTCATACAATCAGTACAATACCCCTGAAATGTGACAAAATCCCAAGCAAATGTTTGAACTGAACGTTTCCCATCAAATGAATTGAAAGAGTATTTTCTTTTCCTACAGGTTGTCTTTTCAGCCAGAAATGTTGTCACTCGAATTCGTGAAGCACTGGACATACTCCACCAGGAAGTATGCACTGTGCACAATGTGTCTGAAAAGTGCCAACGTCTACATTACAATTACTTACTATGCTATTTTTATTTTTTATTTTTTTAATTGTCCAGGTACCCCGTGCAATTGTTAACATGGTAGAGATGCTCAACATCGTACCCCTGCGTGAATTGCACAAGGATAAATCTTTGGGTTGTCCCACCTGGATGGTCAAGTTAGTGATTTTTGTCTCTCCAAGGCAAAAAAGTAAGACTTAAAAACCTGCGACATGTTGCTATTAACTGCCCTGGTGTACATGTTTCAGTATAATTTGCCCCTGCGTGCTGACGGCTACTGACGAATCATATGAACTGCAGAAGCTCAGTGACTTCAACAGAGCATATCAGGTACAACAATATATTTCCAGTTGTGAAACTGTAATTTTGTATTTGCTTACATGTAGTGCATAATGTCCCACAATGCTATGAAGAATTATGTTTAGTTCTCTGCAATTTTTGAAATGTACTTTTAGTACCTAAGAATGATGCTTATTTCTCCTTTGTATAACAATAAAGGCTGTTTCTGTTCTTAATTTGGATTTTACTGAAACACATGCTGTCTTAGAAGCTAAACTGTCTTGTGATATCTGTTGTGCTGATCTTGTCCACCTGGCTGTAATTCTCAACACGTTGTCTCTTTATTATCTGCAGCGTGGCATGAGAGAGCTGATTGATTCTGGAAGATATGACACACAAAACAACTTCACAGTGGTGCTGCAGCCTTTCTTCAGAGAGGTTGTCTTTCCCAGGCTAGAGGTGAGCGTGTGCAGATTTTATCAAAAAATTGTTTTCTTCCCCTTTTCTTCCCCTTTTATTCATTTTAAAATTTTTTTTACTTTCTATGCTAGGATGGCCGGCCTGATCGCTCTTATTTCTCTCCTGACTGTTTTCATCTCAGCCAAAAAGCTCATACCCTCATGGCCCGGTCCCTTTGGAACAACATGGTAAAGTCCAGGGCACGTCTCGTATTTGTGTTTTTTCTTCTTTCTTATTTTAATCTAAAATAAGTTAACGGCTCTCACAATGTCTTAGTTGGAGGCAGTTGGCAACAAGACTTACATCCAAAATTTCCAAGCTGAAATTGGCCTCAAGTGTCCAACAGAGGTAAACAATTTTCAGAAACTGTATACTATATATTGCTCCAAATGTTTACATGTAGTCATTTTCATTTTGTTTATTTATCTAGAGCAACCCTTTCATTCGAACAGCAGTCAATAGTGACTACACCTTCCCAGGCCCTCCACCAACATCACCTCCCATTACTGTATGTCATGTTTTCCTAAATTAACATAGTGAATATTTATTGGGTGACCAGCATGCTAAAATATATGTATTTGTAATTTTTCCAGAACTGGGGCAGCGATTTCTCCTGCACCAACACAGCTCCATCAAACTCTGTGCCCACATCCGGTAAACATCCTGTGACAATCATGCGAAAGACTGTGTTTGACACATAGAAATGTACCAATATCTGAGTTTTGTCAGCCCACAGAGTGCGTCCAGCAGATATTAAGGTGGTGGGGGCTCTTGGAGACTCTCTAACAGTGAGTGCTGCTTACAGATGTCTAATTTGGTGGTAGAAATGTAGAAAAAAAGGACAACCTGGCCCAATGTCCACCCTTGTTTTACATAATTTATGGAAAGGTGTCACTTGGTCTTGTGGATGATGACTAGAACTTGAAATCTATTGTTGGGTGGTTATACAAATGCTAAAATTGGTATCCTCATGCTATGTCATCAGGCTGCATTTGGTGCAAGAGCAACAAACCTGGTGGAGCTTCCCATAGAGTACAGAGGGGTGTCATGGAGGTGAGGGATTGCACAAAAGTTTTCTGGAAAAAAATAAATAAATCATGTAAAACTGTGTGCACTTGGCTCGCTTTGTTCCTCTCTCTACCTAGTATTGGAGGTGATGATACTCTTGAGACTGTCACAACATTGCCCAGTAAGACTCGAGAATTTTTTTTCTACGTTGTGTAATTGCACAATGGCACCACTAGGGGTCAGTCCGAGCCCAAATAAACGGAAAATCTCTCTGTAATAATTTTTATTATTTTTTTTCTGTTGACTTCTTACATCAGATGTCCTGAAGAAGTTCAATCCTGGTATCAAAGGGGCTTCAAAGGGAACTGGAAAAGATCAGACTGGTTTCAACATGGCTGTATCTGGGGCTAAAGCAGGGTAAGCTCAAACACTGTCCAATGTTGTGGACATTTTATGAACTCATAAAAACACCACCCTGACAATATATCCAATTATGTGCAGAGGGGTTCCACATCAGGTCAGGCTTCTGGTTGATGCCATGAAAAATGATGCTGTGAGTTTTTAGCTGATTCTAAACTGCTATTCAGCTTTGTTGCAATGCAACACATTTGATTCTAATATTTTCTCCGTCTGTCTGTCTTTCTGGATCTTTTATTGGATGGAGCTAGACGGTGGATTTTCAGAATGACTGGAAACTTGTGACTCTCTTCATTGGAGGCAACGACCTTTGTCAGTACTGCAATGACCGGGTGAGTTCCCTCTGAACTGCACTGAGTGTCTGCTTAGGCCTCACTGAGTGTTATGTGGCACTGCCTTATGATATCACTCCCCAAATGGATCTGCGCTCCAGAGCATAATGACGCTTTGTGAGGGCCTCTCCCCTAATAGCCTCATTGTGTCAGTGAGATGAGAGCAGGCATGGTTTCTTTTCAATGAGCACATTCTGTTACCTTACCCCTCCAACACGGACCTCCCGCCTCCCACGTCTATCCCAGCCTCTGTCTGCGTTAAAGAAGCACAGAGGAGAACAGAAGCAGGCCTTGTTCCCTACGAGGCATAAACAACTCAGAAGACTTTCTTCATCTAGCTTCTATGACTCACCTCAGGCTTTATAGACTCAGTGGTCTTTCTTTTGATGACTCTTTTTTGAAGCAGGGCAGGAGAAAAGTTGCATTAATTTAAAATGAGCTCTAGGATTGGGTGCTTACAGGTTGCATGCCTCCTCTACCAGAATAGATTTAGACTAAGCCAGTTCATGTTGCACTTATTTCTCCAATAAGGTAGCTATGCTAAGGATCAATGGTGGTTTGCGATATGGGCCATAGGGACAGTTGCCCAGGGTAGCATTAGAAAGGGGACATCAGTATAGATAGAGATTATTTAGCTGAACATCTTTTTTATTGCTGTCATGCATGTGCAGTCAAAGGAGAGTTGTGTAGGAAAGGCGTTCACAGGTTGCTGCTAGTCACACAGCTCCCACATGGAGGGAATGTGCAAATCATTCCGAAATGTCTTATTTTCCCTTAGTGACTTTGTGTTACCTTACATCTTCTGTATTCAGTGGACAAGGAGGACCTCATCCAGGGTACCATCTGCTTTTAAGAAGGCTTAACAAAACTCTTTGTTCACCGTTAATTATTTATTCATTCTGCCTAAAAACCCACAGGCCACTCTTTCACCAGCAAACTACACCAATTACTTGAGGACAAGCTTGGATATCCTCTACAACGAAGTAAGATGACTATAACACATCATAACATCTCAAGTCTGACTGAAATTGTTTTCTTTACATTTTGTTTAGATCAGCACTGATCCATAAAAGTCTGATAAAATTTTCTTGGTGTTTGGTTTCAGGTTCCAAGAACTATCGTCAACGTTTTAGAGATCCTGGAAATTGAAGGCCTTCGCAGAATCAAAAAGGATGGAATTGGATGCACCTTGGTCCAAAAGTAGGCAACACAATAGTCTGATCATGTCTTCATAAGTCAAGGCCACTGAGTCCAAGACGGAAAGCACTTTTTGTCAAAACCTTCTTATTGATGAGCTAGTTCTCTGAATAACTTTAAGGAGAAATCCTATTAAGTCAGATTCACTTTGAAATGTATATAAAAGAGACCAAAAGGTGTCTCTTTGAAATTTTCCAGTTTGCATAGCTTTTGCATAGATTTGGCACTGAATTATTGAAAATAATTGATATCATTAATGTTGTTGAAGAGGTTTGTGAAGTATTTTTAATTTTAGAACCCCTGTAGTGTCAGGAACATATAGAGGCACCCAAGGTACAGATGTGAAAAGTCTTAAATTTATATTCTTTTCCAGTACCATAACAATACACTAGAAAATTAAGAACATTTGAAACATATGTAATTTAAGTTTTAATTCCAAACTGCTGGAAATCTTTTTATGTTGAATGACACTGGAAACTCTAAAATACCAGGTGATATTTTAAGCACAAATCTGATGTAGGCAACAACAAACAAGAAATGGGTCGTCATTGTGTCTTTGAGCAGAATGTTGGCCAAATCAACACAGAAGTGGCTCACCACCCTTTTTAGTTCCCTGAACTTTTCCGATCAGAGAGATAAAAAAGACTGAGCTCGAGAGAATATGCAGGACTCCGAAACATCCACATCGATTTTGTAAAGCGGAATGGTCAAAGGTTCCTCCCTTTATGGTGTTTATGATTTTGTAGGAAACAAACAATTATTTTGTACCAAGGTATTTTTCCTCAAAATGCACTCAGAATCTATTCTTTTAGGTTATGTAAGTGCAAGAGACAATTAGTTTACTTTTAAAATATCTTTAGCATGGCTCTTGACAATTCTGACCAACATTTGAATCCATTTGAAATGAAACATTTCATTTTCCAAATTGAGCTGTTAATTTCCCCCATTTGACCCACAGGCAAGTGTGCCCCTGCTTCTTGTTACCTGGAGAGGATTCCCAAGAGCTGGCTGAATTGAAACGGATCAACCGGGAACTTCAGGTTTATAGACAGAGAATAGTGTCATCTCTGGAACATGTTATGAGTAAAAGAAGTCAGCAATAACCTTTGTATCCACTTTTGTTAGATTGAGACTGAAAATCTGGTGTATGGAGACCGTTATAATGGCAAAGAGGACTTTGCTGTGGTTGTCCAGCCTTTTTTCAGAAATTCCATCGTTCCTTTAAATGCTGTAAGCCATCTGCACAACAACACTCAATTGCTGCTCCGAGATTTAGGTTTAAGATGGAAACACTCCCGACCTGTTAGAGCACAAAACACACTCAGTGATCCTGTGCTTGTTTTCCTGTAGGATGGCGTGCCCGACACCACCTACTTCTCCCAGGACTGTTTCCACTTCAGTGAGCGAGGACATGCTGACATGGCTGCTGCTCTGTGGAACAACATGGTGAGTTTGGCAAGGCCGAAAGTACAAATCTAACTGCAGAGTTTTAGATATAGTGTTGCTAAATTACCACTTAAGCTGAGCAAAGTCCTCTTTCTGTTTTATCTCTAGCTTGAGCCAGTGGGTAAAAAACAGACCTACAACAATTTCACCAATGCCAGAAATATCCTCAAGTGCCCCACTGAGGTAAGATATCTGCTGCAGGCTGTCACTGTTGACCTATTTTTTCTATCTATTTTGCTGTAAGTACAGCACAGCTACAACATATACACTCTTGTAAAGTTTTTTTTTCCATATTTTGTTGTTACAAACTTCCAGAATCAATATGTGTATAGTTTACTTTTAAAAATCTATAGTAAATAGCTCACAATGACAAAGTCAAAATAACTGTTTGAACACTTTTCCAAATAAAAGGTATTTATTTAGAACACTAAAGTGTGTCAATGTCCCCTATTTGTTGGAACATTGACACACAATACATGGGTATGTATTCACACACATTGCCATGATGTTCAGATATCAATTCGAGTACATCTGACTTCCATTGGTTGACCTTGAGAACTTTATCGGTGTCCACAAGTGGTTAAATCAACAACAAGCTCATTTCAGAGCAGAAGCAAAACACATAAAGTCAGATGAATTCAGGAAAGAAATTGTAAGCAGGACATAAATCTGTAGAGGAACTTAAATTAAGAATCACTGTAAAAACCTAAAAATTCCTGAAATGACGTCAGAAATATATCGCACTGAATATAATGTCCTTCCATTTTTCAGGAGCAGCCATATATCTTCACAACCGTGAACAGCTTTCCCAGTTTGACCACAACCACAGCACCCACAATGGGCAGCACAGCACCCACAATGGGCAGCACAGCACTGCCTTTCACCCCAGAATGTTCAGGCACTGTCCCAGCATGGCTTGCTGCTGTACTGGCCATTGTTGGGCTTCTGGTTGGCTGCGCCGTCACCTGGCTCCTCCTCTCCTACAGACACAAGAGAAGCAAGAAGAAATCGGCTACAGTTGAGATGAACGCTTCTGCTCATTATGCTTACTCTAACTCTTACACTGAATAACCCAAGCAGAAAAACGAAGAAAGTCAGGGTCAAAACTGCTTTCTGAAAGCTCAGTGCTTGCAGAAACAACTAAACAGTGTTTTATGTTCAACAAAGTAATGTAGTGCTGTCTGTTTTGACAAGAAAAGTAAGTAAATAAATGTTTTATTTTATTTAAAGAAATCAATATCATGAGTACTTTAAAGGGCTAAATGAGAGAAATGTTTTTAAACTTGTTTGACTGAACATGTCAGAACAGTTGTCTGTGAGGAACAGTTGCACTTCTTACTTTTGCACAGGCTGGTAAGGCAAATTTAAATGTTGTAGCTGGTCTAACAGCTAACATCAAACAGGTACTGCCATAAACCACTGAATATATGCACATGTCTGCTTGCACATGCAGACATGTGCAAACATGCAGACTACCTTTAGTGGTTGCACATTTCCTTCTAACTTCCTCCTATCTGCACCAAGTTTTCTGACAATGTAACATGAAGTCATAGACGTAATATCCTCCTTGAAACTTGATCAGAAATAAATGTAACATTGTGCAGTTTTGTGCCATCTTTTTCTGTTAAAAAAAAAAAATATATATATATAGCTCTAATCAAAGATGGAATAAATAATTGGAGATTGTGAATTTGGAAAATGTGTACGCTCTGTCCTCTTGAAAAGCACTGGGAGTACCATCACATCATAAACAAGACGGACTACTCATGCCTGTGTGTGTTTATCATACCAACAGTGCAATAGACTGGAGGCTATATAACCACGTGTTTTTTATGACACTCTTAAAATGATTAAAGCAGGCTGACAGCTTCCATTATCTTCATCACATATTAAGAGGAACAGAAAACACTTTGCTTTGATTAGAATTGCAGGTCCAACATTTAGGAATAAATATTGAAATATATTTAGAGGTACAGATAAATTTTAGAAACTTCTCTGTTCCTGCTGAAGAAAAGGATTTCCATGTTTCACCGTGAGGACAGCATTTTGGGTTGTTTGTTTTTTCATTTGTAACTGGACCAAAAAGTTCAATTTCAGCCTTATCTGTACAGTGCACCTTTTTCCATGTGTTTGCTGTGGCCTCTCATGATTTGTAGTCATTTTTAAAAACAACTTGAAAAAAAATATTTATTGTGGGTGGAAAACAAACAAATGTAATTTATTTCTATCATTTCAGCAACAGGATAAATTGAATTCTGTTTGGAATTGATTATATGTTGGTCAGGTGACAGCTGAAAATAATTATTTAAAGATGTATTACGTTATTTTACTTCGTAATGATTCATGTGTACAAATAAGAGATATAATATATGTTTTAATAGTGATAATGGTAATTTTTATTTTAATTTTATAGTTATTAGTCTTTTAAATTAAAAATGGTCCTGTAATAATTTGAACTCTGAGTTTATATTCGGAGCTTTTTATAATTAAACTGTTATTAAGCTGCTTGCCTGGTATCCCTGATTGGTCATTATTTTATTTATTTGTGTCAAGTACCTGTTTCCCCTCGTTAGCGCCCTCCAGTGTCCGCTACGGATATCTAGCAACTGACACTGTTCAACATCAGTGTGAAGATGGCGGAGGGTGAATTGAACGTGGATAGTCTCATCTCTCGGCTTCTGGAGGGTAATTTTTTCTCTTACATGTGTATTGTTATGCAGAAGTAAAGGTTCGGACTCTCTGATTCGGCTCAAAAATCTTTAGCGCGTTAGTAACTGTCCCGTTTTTGTTTTTTTATTCACGTAGCGCAGGCAACTGTTAGCAGCTACTGCTAATGTCAGCCATTGGTACCGTTGTATTCCCCGGCTAGTTGCGACTAGCGTTACCGTTAGCTGCCCGGTCGTGTTTATAAACAGTCAGCGGTGAACGCCTACATGTCTCCATTGGCGCAGTTTTATGTGAGGCTTTAGATATTTAACACACACAAGTCTTGTTTTATTCCCCAAGCTTGTAAATGTATTTTGTATTTCATTGGGTTTTTAAGCTAATTTATTTCCTAAACCGTTAATGTTCAGAAGGAGGGGCAGGGACGTTTCTGCTTTGCCTCGGGCAAATTGTTTGACTCGGCCTTGTTGCTAAACAGGTGGAAGGCAGTACATTATAACAGAGGGGAAAACCCCCCCCAAAACAACAGCATTGATTGTTAGCGCTCCCTTTTTTTCAGCTGCACTTGCGTTTTGCATTCATATATTTATGCTAACTCTGATACAACGGTTTTTGACCTAATTTATGCTGGGGCTATACACACACCCTAATTCTATGTAAGAAGTAATTTTAGGAAAAAAGGAGCATGAATGCACTTGATTTTAAACAATGAATTGTGCATCGATGTATTTTTACTTATATGTGTTGGGCATGGGCTAGAAAAAGAGTCTCATTATATTAGTATCTTGATCAAAAATATGCTGGTATCACAATAAATACCTAATTATGTCTTTTTTAAAACTAAATGATGAAAAGTAGAAAAACATATCCTGCAGCAAAAGAATACATTTAACTACCAAAATATTTTATTTTTCATTTTCTCTTGTTTTTTTATGTTGTGTTGTTGTGTATCTTGTGGACCATGAGTCTGTTGAATAAAGTAAATAGAATAGAATAGAAAAAGGTGAATAGTATACTTGTTTTTCACTAACTGCTTGTAGCTTTCCATGTGTGGTTTTAAAACTACATTAATGTAATAGCATGCTCCGTTCTCACTCAGTGACTGGCATGGATTCACGCTCTACTTGCCGATGATGTATTCGGCCAGTTGGATGAACTTTCACTGTCCTTAATGCCTACTCCTCGTGTAGATTTTAGTGACCTAGATTTTAATGCGCCCTGTGATGGTATGTCAACTTGTCCGGGGTGTAACCCAACTCTCACTCAGTGACCACTAGTGATCCTTCAAGAATAAACAGGTAGAGATAATGGATTGACAGAAAAAATATTTATTAGTACTTGAATGACATCAGTATCATCATTGAAATGCTCAAGAGTATTGTCATAATGTCATGGTTTTCTAATATCCTGCAGTGTAAAATTGAAGAGCAAAGAAACGGGTGCAAAGAGAAGGGATGCATTACTCTGCTCTCCATAAAGATGGAGAAAACTCATTGGTAGAGCACTTTCTTTAGTTTGTATTATAGGAATATGAAAACAGTAACTGGTCTGTGCTTGCACAAAAGTTCAAACGTTTTATTTTCCTTTGACTAGATCCGGTCTAACAACTGAGATTCGATAAATACTTTGATATTTTGCAGCCTAGAAAGTTGAAACATTTAATTTTAGTACCAAATATATCACAGTATGAACATACAGTTGGTTTAACTTCAATATAAATGTTTACATTATTTTTATTGTTAGTAGTAGTGAGTGCATCACTCTCACAAATATATTCACAATGTCTTACATATAACCTTTATAAATTACAACACAACCTAAATATGTTATTTAAAAGTTTGTCATTCTGACTCTACAGAAGGGAACAAAACTGTTTCTGCTAATGTATTATCATCCAAGTGTTCTTGCCAAGTACAAGTAAGGTCTCTGGTACCATTGTGTTAGTCCAGAGAAATCCAACTGGCTGGAAAGAAATTAACCAGACATACCAGGCTGTTCTGAAGGCCCAAACATTCAGCTCAATGTTTACATTTGTAGCATTAGCCATTAGGCAGCTGCTGGAGGAGAGGACTGCTCTTGTATTAATTTTCACCCAGGTTTTGAGACAAATAACAAATTTTACTCTTTCAGTACAGAGGTTAATTTATGAAGCTGAAGGTAAAGAACAAAACAAAACTGATGTCTGAGCGAGAGCGAGGATCTAAAATGATAGAATAAAATCCAAAACACAAAAAATAATGTCTCTTTTGTTTTTTCAGAATTTCTTTGTGTGCATACTTAACAGCTGGTCTGTTTTTGGTTCACACTTGGTTTGTAGGTGTGTTTTACAATTGTGATCAGGCTCCAGTGCTTTCATACTCTCACACTGCCTTTAGTTGTCCATATATTTATAAAAATTCACAAGAACACAAATGTGAGACATTTCAGAGTTGGACTTTTTTTTTTACCTATCCTTAAAATTGCTGTCAGAGTCTGGGTTCACATCCACTTTTGAGTGTATCAGCTTCATGGAACATTACTTGACCACTAAGGCAAACTCCTCTGTCCTTGGCATACTTTACTTCAGCATCTGTGACATCTGTTGGATGGACATGGCATATTTAGAGCTCCCACAATTATAGATTTCTATTTTAGGATGCAATATATTAAAAGTACTTTGACCTTGTCTTCACGCTAGCTTGGTTTTAAGTTGCCCGCAAGGTATTATTCTCTCCTTTTACATTGTTTATTAATTATTTTTTAAGTGTATTTAACCCTTGTTTTCATCCTTTTGGCTTTAAAAATGTGTGTCTATTTTCTATTGGACTTTCAGCTGATATTAACCAGAAACTAGCTGTTTTCAAATCATTGACTAGCTGTAACCAACTTTGAGACTTTTTTTCTTTTCTTTAGTCTAATAAAATATTTTATTTGCTATGAGAAGTAAGCAAGGTATTGCAATTTCTTTTTTTTTTTTTCTAGTTCAATTATACAAACTAATTTGTCTAAACTTTCTTCTGAATCAAGAAGTAACTGTAACAGAGGAAATCATTAAAGGAATAAAAAATGATGTACATGTTTTGATGGAAGAAATTACTTAAAATCCAAAAGAAAATAAGGGATTTCAAGACAAATGAATCAAGCGTTTTTAACCTTTGAGATTTTCACTAAAATCCCAGTGAAGTGCTTTAAATAACATTGATGGCTTCACAAACCAAACAACGTGGGAGTTTTTAGCATTGATGCATGAAGTGAACATTTTCCAAATGTTCACTTAAATTTTTCAACACAGAGTAAAAAAACTGTCCTATTGATTGTTTAATCACACTTTGCTATTAAAATGAATTGAAAGCACTGTCACTTTAACTATAAACACCGCACACAAACTGCTGTGCTTTGTGAGAGTCACAAATCCTTGTCAACACTTCTGTTCAGCTTTTGCCACTGGGTGATCTTATAAACCTAATCTCTTCTAAAAGTGCCAGTCTGCAGAGTGCCACCGCAAACAGTGAAAGCTTCAGTGTTAAAGCCAAGCAGGCTAAGCACCCGAGCTTAGCTTACTTTGCACTGATGAGGTCTGGTAATGAGCCCTAATTCTGCTTCATGTTACGTGCTGGATTTGGTGTAAAGTAGATGGCTAATTACACACACACGCACACAAAAAGAGAGATAACGTTTCGCACCGGTAATACTAAAGCTTTGAAATGTTTTGGGTCATCACATTTATCATCTCTGTATGTTTTTGGAAATTTAATTTAATGTCTAACCCTTGTGACACATTCAATTACATGACTAATCATAATGCGGCAATGAGGAAATTCCAATGCTTTAGTTTAAATGGGATGATTATGTGGGTGTGGATGAAACTGAACAGAAATGCTTTTTCTAAGCCTGTCTGCACACACAGTTTACTCTCTTTTTTTCTTGAACTTGTTTTTCTATTTCAGAGGCTGTTAGAAAAACACAAATAATAAAGGATGTTACTAAGGCTTGCTTTCCTTTCTTGGACTTTTAAGTGGGCGTCTTTACTGCAAGGGAACACACAAATGCTTAGAAGTTACGCATTTACCTGATTATGGATTTGTTCATGTTTTTATTTTAAAGAAGGTTAGCAAAGGTTACATTATAAAAAGGAATTTAGGATTGAGCAATTTCAGTAATGGCTTGGTATGGCTTTCTTATGAGAAACATGCTGGAAGAGAAAACAAATAAGATCAGCAAAATAGTAAAATGTTCCTCCAGCGTAGTCGCCACATTTCTTTTTTATTATTTAAATAATCCTACTTTTCATATAGCCACCCAATTCAGTTGCTGACTCCAGCCAGCGTTTTGCGACTCGCTTTTCTTCTCGGTGTTCTAAGATGGGTCACAGTGCCATAAAGCACGCTTGAGCTTGCAGTGAAGCTACAGCGCCAACGCCGCCCACACTGTGGCTGAAGATGTTTGCTCCTCTCACAGCCTCAGCACCAGGTTCCTAAAGTATGGCTGTAATCACTTATGAGCTGCAGAATCATTACACCCACAGTTCATCTTCTTACAAGACAGCTTTTTGAGATTCTGCTTGAAGTGTATTTTCTCCTTAGGTAAATTGTGCTTCCACTGCAGCCTTCTTTCTGAGAGCAGACCCATGATGGAAGTTGCCGGTCTCACTGACAGTTTTGTTTCGCTTCCGCAGTGCGGGGATGTCGTCCGGGAAAGATAGTCCAGATGACCGAGGCAGAGGTCCGTGGCCTTTGCATCAAGTCAAGGGAGATCTTCCTCAGTCAGCCAATCCTCCTGGAGCTTGAGGCACCTTTGAAGATTTGTGGTGAGTGTTTTCTGTTCTCTTTATGTTTTAAGATTACAACTCCTGAGTGTAATCCAGAGTTTAGATCTGAAAATCTGAAAGGCCTCTAAACAAAATAAACAGTATTTTCTGGTTCAGTGTCTGGTACAGCACAGGATTAGACTTCGGGAGGTTCTATTCATTTTTCAGTTATGGTTGCTTTATACCCACCCTATTTGGGTACGAAAAAGAGTTGCCTGTAACAAAACGTCCATTGGTAACTCCCCTTGGGAGGACCTGTAGCAGATAACTAGGAAGGCTGATGTATTACATCAGTTTTTACATTCTGTCTGCTTTACAAAATGCTGGATTTAGAAATGTTGGCAGCTTCTTGTCAATCGGAAATATCAGGGTCTACTTTCTCCAGGAAATGTTAAGTAACTCTAGTCACTAATATAAAGCACTGAAGGAAATTTCAAATGGCAACACTTTATTTATATGGGCCTTGATTAATATGAGGTCCTGTTTGTGTTTGCTCTCTTAAGTGTGACATGATGTCATCTGTGCTCCTAATATAAATAATTAATAATAATTCAGAACAGAAAGGCTGGAAAAAGGAAAACAACACATTAAATGCTTTTTTTGTTGTTGTTTTTCAAAGTGTTAGTGGCTCTAGTGGCTTTTATTTGATAGTGAATTGACAGGAAAGTGGGTAAAGAGTGAAGGTGCAGACATGTAGCAAAGGTCACCATGCCAGAAATCAAACCTGCAATGGCCGCGTCAAGGACTAAGGCCTCCATATGTGGGTTGTGCTTTACCTCTACTTGAAGAACCATAAAAATGGTCGAAGATGTTTCCTTCTCTCGCATTACTGAGAGAGGGAGAGCATTCAAATTTCTCTTGGTAGCTATACTCTCCAGGCTCAAACATTTTACATTTAAAGGGACAAAATAAATAAAATAACTAATTGCCTCACATGCAAATATTTTCTGCTTGTTTATTGTTTTCTTTGTGCTGTATGGATTTATTTTAAGTAGTGTTTAGATTGATCAGTTCTTCTAGCATCAAAAGCCATGAAGTTGTTTATGTTGTTTTGCTTTTATTCACAATGCAGTATTTCTTGAAACCTTGCCCTGAAATTAATTTATTCTGTGATGCCTCCAAAGTTGTAAACCGAATACAGAACAGCAGGATTGGTCTCCATGCAACTTATATTTCACCTTAATCAAACATTCACTTTCCGTGTGGAATTAGTTTGCAGATGCCTATTCTTGAAATCTAAATGACTAAGGCGTTTGTAGGAAGTCTCCTGGTCTAAGTGCACCCCAGAGATTCTGTTTATGCTTTGCTGTTGTTGCGAAGCCACTGCAGGTTTTGCACTATGCATTATGCATTCCTTGTATGTTAGTCTATAACTTAAATGAATGAAATACATCGAGGTTTGTGATTGTAAAATGACAAAATGTGAAAACTTTTTATATATAAATAAATAAACAAAAAATATGGATATTTTTCATAAGTCCTTGAACTCTAGACGTCATTAACTGAATTTAGAAAACACGTTTTCACACTGAAGTGATGGCTGTACTAAAGGGCAGACTCTCTGTGTGCAGAGTGCAGCCCACAAAGCCTGGTCTGCACAGCTTAGAGCAGCAATTTATTCATTCGAAGCATTTTAGAATTTTCTTATGTAACCAAGCTCTGTATTTCACTTTTGGAAGATATTCTCTGTGTTTAGTCTCTATTTTTAATTTGTTTTTCATAATTATTTGTTCTTCAGGTATTTCTGTGAGGGTTGTGCTTCTTAGATGGAAATGAGACGTTTAAGAATAGGCAGACGGCAACAAAAGAGGGTTAGCTTGTATTTAAACTAGCAGGCAGAGTAACATTATACAACCATATGTCTTCTGGTGCCAGCTGTGGTTTGGGTTTGGTTGTATAAAACACCAATGTGCCCTTTGAAATGCCAAAAAAAAAAATGTATCCCTACCAGTTTCATGAGCTCAAATAAAATACATGTTTTGGTTTTAGTTGCTTCTCTTATATTTTAATTTGCTTTTAATGTTGTCTTGTAATGAAACACTCCTACCAAAAGACTGTGGCACATACATTCAGTCTCCTTCTGTGGCACAATGCAGCCAGTAATTGTTGTTCTTCTGTGGTTTAGACCTCTTCAGTCATCTGGGTCTGCACCATTTATCCAAAATTAGAGCAACCCTTAAGTTGGCGCAATAGGATATAGAAGGAAGCAGGTCTTGGCCGAGTGATGATTCTCTCCTGCAGAGATTTGGTGCTTTGCTGGGAGCATCTACAGCTCATTGGGGTTTTCTGAAGGTCAAGGATGGAAGCCATTGGTCTTAAACCCTGAGAGAACAGTTCAAATTAAACTCGGGGTGTGTTTAATTGCAAGGTGGGTTATGCGTGCTTCCTTTTTACAAATAGCTTTAATTGTGATGGATGTTTGTCTCTGCTGCCCCCTTTCCCACAGCCTTCTGTGTCGATCTAGTGGTCATTGTAAAATGACAATGTATAAGTGTCAAAGAGAAAGTATCTTTTTCTGTCACACTTTCATGTTTTTAAGATTGGAAAACAAATTAATCTAATTAAAAACAAATATCTGTTTTTAGATGATTAATTCATTTATGAAGTCAATTAGATATCCAGATCAACCAGGCCTAATGCAAAACAAGTGATTGCCCCGGAGGCATAAGTGCTCATGGTGTCTTTTGCATGAACATGTTTCCAATAACCCACTGATTTAGAATTTCATATCAGTGGATTATGACAAATTAAGCCACTCTGGGTAGTTTCTAAGCATGAACAGCCTGTTTAAGATGCAAATCTGAATCAGATTGATGTCTTGGCTTTCACTAGGCCAATCAGACTCTTTCTTTTTTTCATAACTATTTAGCAAATGACTTGGTGGTGTTTGTTCTGCGGCATGATTTAATTTGCTTAAGTCATAAAATCATTAGATTTCTTTGTAGAAACCAGAGTTCATAATTTTATAAATTACAACAAGTCATCCCAGTTGTTTGTGGATATCTTAGAAATGGCTTTTTAACCCTTTTTAACCTGAATCATGTCAATGATTTTGATTACTTTTCCCACATATGGCCAGGATGAGAAAGAGTTGTTTTTTTGTTTGTTTTTTTGTTGCTGTTGTTTTTTCAGAACATCTTCTGAAATCTGCTTTTGTATATAATCTGTGTTTGCTCTGAAATAAATGTGTGTTTATAAAAGCCAAAACAAAAAAAAAAAAAGTTCTTCTCAGCACTATGTACATCCAGATTTTTATATCTATAAAGAGAAACAAGTCCATATGACTCCATGAAGGAAATTTTAAGAACTACTGTTTCTTTGATGCTTTGTTTCAAAATCTGAATGACCTCTTGTTGCAATTTCACTAGTTGTGTTTTACCAAACTATAATCTTTTGTATGTTTATTTAAGCTTCGACGAACAATATTCCAGTTATAAAATCCCAGCTGTACACTTTGCATCTCACCCTCTATTTAGGTGACATCCATGGGCAGTACACTGATCTCCTGAGGCTGTTTGAGTATGGTGGCTTCCCTCCAGAAGCAAACTATCTCTTCCTGGGTGATTATGTGGACAGAGGAAAGCAATCCCTGGAAACCATCTGTCTGTTGCTGGCCTACAAGATCAAATATCCAGAAAACTTTTTCCTGCTCCGAGGAAATCATGAGTGCGCTTCCATCAATCGTATCTATGGCTTCTATGACGAATGTAAGTGAATTCATAAAGGGCTACAAATATCTCTGAAAAGCATAAAGTATTTAGTTCGTAAGATGTGTATTCGTACATTTGCAGGCAAGCGCAGGTTCAACATTAAGTTGTGGAAGACCTTCACAGACTGCTTTAACTGCCTCCCCATTGCTGCTATAATTGATGAGAAGATTTTCTGCTGCCATGGAGGTGAGTGTCTACTGCAGATATGCGGTTGAATTTTTTTTATACATGTATTCAATACAGCCAATCATAAGCTGATGTTTATTTTCTGTCAGGGCTTTCACCTGATTTGCAGTCAATGGAGCAGATTCGTAGGATCATGAGGCCGACAGACGTGCCAGATACAGGTGCTGTTTCTATCTGCATACACTTCATGCTTGATCGGTTTTATTCACATTCCATCTTGGTGTCCATACCTTGCAACTCTTTCCTGACATGCTTGTATCAGGCCTTCTGTGTGACTTGCTGTGGTCGGATCCGGATAAGGATGTGCAAGGCTGGGGAGAGAATGATCGTGGAGTCTCCTTCACCTTTGGGGCAGATGTGGTCAGTAAATTCCTAAACCGCCATGACCTGGACCTCATCTGCAGAGCCCACCAGGTAATTAGAGATAGATTCTGAAAATCCTTTATGTAAGCATTATCGTTTCTCTTGCACACTTAACAGAGACTTGTTTCAATTACCAGTGCCGATAAGAAAATCTTGTGTAAGCTACATTAATAATAGTGGATATGTGTTCCCTGGTTTCTACCTCCATTTCGCCTCTTCTTCCCTAAGCATCATGCATTCAAGCACTGGGTAATGGTTCATCTGTTTTGCTTGATTGAATTGCTACGGTGCTCTCTTAAGTATTTCTTCTCCTATATCTTTTCCATGCATTGTCACTTTCTAACAATTTTTGGACCAATACAACAAAGTGCATAATTGGGATGTGAATGAAAATGACTAATACAAATCTGAAAATGTGGAATACATTTGTAATTTGTAGAAGAATCTTTCACCGACATTAGAGCTGCAAGTTTTTTGGGGTATGTTTCTGCCAGCGATGCAAAACCAGAGAGACTGAAATGATTTCCTGTACTTTTTAATTACCTGTTGATCTGGTGGGAAGTGAGTTCAAACATCAGTTTTAATGTCTTGCTACAGATTTACAGCAGGTTTCACAGTTGGCATGATGTGTCCAAGGAGATGTGCATTCTTAGTTTTCCGCCACACACAGTGCTTTGCACATGGACAAAATTGTTTGTTTTTGGTCTCAACTGAACAGAGTATTTTGCTTCTATGTTTGGCCTTTCTTCAAACAATAACTTTGTTCTTTGAGCTCGTCCATACAGGCCAGAGTTATGTAGTGCATAACAAACAGTGATCATGTCAACAGATTCTCCCACCTGCGTAGTAGATCTGAATTTTGTGGCTGTGTTATGACAAAATGTGAAAACATTCAATGGACACAAATGCAAGATACAATGTAGACAGTGCAATGTATGGAGTTGATGTTGGAATATTTCTGAGATGGTTTAGTAAGCTCTGCCCTGACAGCACAGTTAGTTTGTGAGAGTAGCTGAAGATCTGTTTGTTATTGATCGCTGTGGGTGTTATAATAACACCACGTGTCTTAAAACAGGTTGTGGAGGATGGATACGAGTTCTTTGCCAAACGCCAACTGGTCACACTTTTCTCTGCTCCAAACTACTGCGGGGAGTTTGACAACGCAGGCGGCATGATGAGTGTGGATGAGTCTCTCATGTGCTCCTTCCAGGTAGTCAAAAAGCAAATGGAGTTGTGATATTTTTTTCCCCCAAACTGATATGTTATTACAGAAATAATCACTCAAATATAAACTCTTTTTTCTTAAGATTCTGAAGCCCTCAGAGAAGAAGGCCAAGTACCAGTACGGGGGCGTAAATTCTGGTCGGCCTGTGACCCCACCCCGCACCACCCAACCTCCCAAAAAGAGGTGAACACCCAACTGTGGCTTGTCCCCACTCCTTGTCATTTTGTCCATTCCAGATCTGCCTTTATGGCGACCCCACAACACCCCTAGAAGTGAGAAGATACGGGGGTTGTCTGATTGTCCAAATCCTCCACTCCTCCTCCACTCAGCCAGCCTCTCGTCAACACCACTGACAGCTCTTTTCTTAAAGTGTACGTGTATATACATTTGCTGTGACTTATCAGTTGGGTTGTTTTGCCTTTATGTTTGGATTTTGTTTTGTTTTTGAAAATATTAAAAAAAATTAACCTTATTGGTGGTTTTAATTCTAATGCTGCTTGAGGTTTTCTGAGATTCTATTGTGTTAGGGAATGCTTTCTTTGTATGTCAAAGAACAATGTGACCAAGTTGCAAAAGTCTGTTCTTTTTCTTCTTCTTTTTTTTTTTTTTTTTTTTTTTGGGCGTCATAAAAACAAAATGAAGGTTCAACAATATTTTACATTGACCTTAAAAACAGTAAAACAAAAAAAATCCTCTTGTGTGTTGTAACTGGGACTGCTGTTCCACTGCAGGACCAAAACAAAAGTCTTATTTCAACTTATCACAGCATGTGTAGTACTCTTAGTGGTTCTTGTGCACATGAACTTTTTTTAAGCATTAATAAAGAGCACCTTCATGTTTGTAGAACAGACCAGTTTGAATGAACAAATTTGTCCCTTCTGATCTTGGACATCATCTACGCAAACAAAATGTATTCAGCGTCAGTTTGCCCATTCTGTCTTGTCTCCCTGTACTTTGACTCCTACGTAAAAAACATGCTGCTTTCTTGCTCTGAGTCGGTATTGACAGTTTTTCTCATTTCTTTCCCCCTCCCTTCTATAATCTTAATTTTGTCTTGAGAGCGAGCGATTGATTTGATGACACATTATGAGTAATGAATGTCATGGGGCTTGGCACACATTGTTTTCACGGTAATGATGAATCAAAAAACATTTAAAAAAAAAAAGACATTGCAAGCTTCAGAAACAGCCCATAATATTGGAACTAAATATTCTAAGTTTGCTTAACACTAGCTTTCTTCTCCTAACCCATTCAGTCCAGGTACAAGGTGTGAAAATTAGCAAAGTTTTAGCTTTGCTGTGTGATTGTGTTGCCACCTGGTGGATAAATATGGCACTGCGATGCACAAACTGTACGCCTCATGTAAAACAGCAAGCATCCAAATATGGGGGAGAGAGTTTTTCATGACATTGCTAGTGTTGCTTACCCTTCACACTGTCCAGCTCGCAGGTTGGTGTCCATCTTTAGTTTCTACTGTTCACAAGAAGCTTTTGTAACTTCAAACAGAAAAGTTGCTTCTTTTCTCATTCGATTAGTTTGGTATTTTTTGTTTTATTTTTATGTTGTTTTTTCATGATGGATTACTTTCAGTTTGCTTAACTTATTTCCTTGGTGTTACCAAAAGCTGTTTTACAGTTTGTAAACGGTTATTTCAAAGTGAATACATTCAATAAAATGGATGAAAGGAAAAGTCAGTTGTCATTTTTATTTATCTTGAACATGTTCAATATCTAATTCATCACTCCCAACTCCATTCTATTCTAGAGTAATTGTATAAATAAAATGTATATATATATATATTTACCTTTTTTTAATATATTTAGCAAACTGTTGTCTCGCATATGGACCCCCCAGCTGACCTTAGTGTGGGTGGCAATCGGTGAAATGTTTGTCATTTAGGCAGAGAAGTGAACACCCAGGAAAAGAGGGAGAAATGAGCTTTGAACTCCAATCTGAAGAGTCTGCATCCAACTTGAATGAAACTGGTAATTAAGGGGCTGCAGAAGAAACCAAGGACAAAGTCTCATCTGGATTACCAAAATCTAATTGTTGAGTTACATTAAAAAGGGCATAAAATAATTTGTAATGGAAATTTGACCCTAGGAGGCAATTTAGCATTGTTTACAGAAGTCACAATGAAGGCATTTCTCCTTTAATGTGCAAAGCCGCTTCAGTTCTGAGAAATGGACTTATGTGTCTTGTAGTATTCATACTCCAGGGAAACAGAACGGAGTTGTTCACAATTAAAAGTGTCCAGCACTTACTAATCTGAAAAAGTTTTTTTAGGGCCACTTATCTTGATGTTAGGGGCGTTAATTGTGGCACCAATGATATTTGTTAAAAGCAAGTATGAGTTTCAACATAGGGGTTTTACACAAAAAGACACTCAAACTACAGGTTAGGTTTTTATATATTTTTTGGGCCATATTTGCTACACTATAGGAGTCGCAAATATAGTTGTGGACTGCACTGCACTGTGAAAAAAATTAAAATGCCCTTTTAGTAGCTGGCTGGACAAGAGCTGTTAATTATATTAAAATGACCCCAAATGCATGGGTCAAAACTTTAAGGATGCTTTTTGTTCCAATGATTATGTCCATCTTAGATAGATACATTGATGTCATGTCACAATAAACAAAAAACATGTGGAGCACAATACATTGTAGGATGGAAATATTTCACATAAACAGAGCATTATCAAAGTGTGAAATTTAAAGATATGATAGTAGCAAATAGTTTCATATTTAGTGACGACAGTAAAATTGTTGCGAGTATGGTTTATTGTTACAAATGAAGTTAAATGTTTCTCGACAGCTCACTTGCAAGCATTTTTTTGGACAGATTTCTGTATTACAACTTCCAGCCCGATGGGGGCAGTATAAATGCTTCTCCGGTACGTGTGACGTAGCCCGGGCCATCACAACTATCTACAAACATAGACGGGTCACAGTAAATGGTTACAATGCTAGCAGAGCGTTTGTAGATCTGGGATGCATTCCAGGACGAGTGCCGAACCAGAAGTGGTGGTTTTGTTCACGTCCCCTGTCTTACACGGCTTAAATAACTCAGAAAGACTAAAGCACGCTGTTACTGTAAGTTTGTGTGCGTTTTGGGCACTTTACCTTGTTTATTCGAGGGCTAGAGCGAGTTTATAGTTGTGTTGAATAAAGCTAACAGTCTGTCCTGCCATGGTTAGCTGCTGCTGCTGCTGCTGGTGTTGAAAGGTCTGAAGTTCAGGGCAGTGCACATTGACTTTGGCTGAAAATATGTAAAAATAAACAAGGACCTTAAGGTGTCCTTTCCTTAAGACACCGTCATCATAGTCTTGACATGTTAGCCAGCTGCCATATGCATTTGCTATATTTAACACGGTTTTTACAGTTAATTTAGGTAAACAATATTTCCGTGTAATTGTTTAGTTTGGAAAAGAATACATTGGATTGCCATCAGACTGATGATGGTCTTCTCGTTGTGTGTTGCTTATTTGTAGCTGAAACATTTCGCAGAAAAGGCTAAATCTGAGACAAAGCTGCTAAAGTTAGAGATGCACCAATGAGAAATCTTTAGGGCTCATTCATTTAAGATGACCTTTTTAATTTGTAGGTTGTTGTAAAAATCTAAATAGCCGTAATATTGAATGAAATTGAAGTCTTGATTTTTGTTTCCCCAAAGAACCAGGCTGAACAACAACCCTTCATCCCTCCTTCAGTGGCACCGTTTCCACCATCAGGCCCTCGCTGATGTTTCAACAATGAACTATGGGAAACTCCCAGCAGTGAGTGAAAAATGGCTAGGTTTAGGCTCAAATCCTGCATCGCCTTAGTCTCCCTAGCATTGCTCCTGGTCATCATAACTCTGGTTTTAAAGGCTCTTGCCCCAGAGGACTCTCCTTTTGACAGTCCTGGTGAGGTTAAAATAAATCTTAACAGACAGACTGCTCCTCAGAACCAGAGGGCCTTCAAGAAAAGCTTTGAAGAGACAAAAATGAGCGACCCTGTTGAGTCGGTCAAGGATGCAGGGCTGGAAAGCACAATGAGGAAGTTTCCTCCTCCCAACTACTATCTCCATGCCTTCTACTATGTATGGTATGGAAACCCCACATTTGATGGCAAATACATCCACTGGGATCATCCACAGCTGCCACATTGGGATGCAAAGGTTGCTCAGGAATATCCACAAGGAAGGCACAAACCTCCTGATGATATCGGGGCCAACTATTACCCCTCCTTAGGGCCGTACAGCTCCAGAGACCCCTCAGTTTTAGAGGCACACATGCAGCAGCTGCGAACAGCAGCCATTGGTAAGCCAAATATGATACTTATGATTCTTACTTAGTTCAATGGTTATCAGTGTTTAAAAATGTTATAATTTTTAATTTGACATTTAAGATCTGATTTTGTTAATAATAGGGATGTTCCAGGTGACATTAGGTTGTCTCAAGAAATATGTTTCAGAGGAAAGTGACCAAGAACACTTTTTTTCTGTTGAAATTTAGACTTATTTTCCAACTTTCCCCAAAAGGTAAGTGGGGTATTTAGAAATGTAGATTATTTGGGCATGTGGCGACTATTTAATGAAGCCAAATCCCAGTCAAGCTACTGCTGTTCCACGTTGATGAGAGTAAATGAGCTGATCAGGATGTTTCTGGGACTCCTACCTTTGGTGTCTTATCAGCAAATCCCACTTAAAGGAGAACCCGGAGGAGAGCCAGAATGTTTTGGTATCTAGACGATACCAAGATGTTTCCTTCTGACCTGGTGGGTCTAGAATGAGCTGCAGACTTTGGCAAAATTTTCTCAGATATTCACTGAGTAATGGATACATTAAAAAAAATGAATCACTAGAAAAATAAAGTTGTTAGAATGAATAAATTAAGATTTCTAAACAGTTAACATTTAAATCTGCTTCAAGGATTTGAAAATAAAGCCTCCTTTTGCCTCAGATATTGTGTAGCTGTTCTTCATATTTGTGTTTATCGTCAGGTGTCATCGCTGTTTCCTGGTATCCCCCTTCCACAAATGATGACAATGGTGAGCCAATTGATGAAATCGTACCTTCTTTGCTGGAGGCGGCACATAAATACCACATAAAGGTGCATATGACAATAGCTTAGTGTTTTGTCTTGTGGAAATTTTATCAAATGTTGTTCAGCCAATGTCAACCCCTTCGATCTGTTGGAATCAGATGCAAAAAATAATATTGTCTGTTTGCAGGTTGCTTTTCATATTGAGCCCTACAAAGGCAGAGATGAAGTCAACATGTTTACCAATGTCAAATTTATCATTGATAAGTAAGTGTTGTACTAGATTAGCTGTTTTATAGTCGCCTTCTACTTTAAGTGAATACATTTCTATTTACCATTGATTGCATATCTTTCAGATATGGGGAGCATCCTGCATTTTTCAAGTACCGGACAAACGCTGGCAAACTCCTTCCACTTTTCTATGTGTATGACTCCTACTTGATGAACTCGGAGCAATGGGCTAAGCTGCTGAAACACACAGACAGCAGCAGCATCAGGGACACACCGTATGACGCCATCTTCATCGCCCTACTCGTTGAAGAGAAACATAAGCGCGAGATCCTGACTGCAGGGTTCGATGGCCTCTACACTTACTTCGCTACCAACGGATTCACATACGGCTCCACTCAGCGCAACTGGGTCTCTATCAAAGCCTTCTGCGATGACAACGACCTCCTATTCATTCCGAGTGTGGGCCCAGGATACATTGACACAAGCGTTCGACCGTGGAACTTCAAAAACACTCGAAATCGCATCAACGGCAAATACTACGAAACCTCGCTGAGTGCGGCGTTGGAGTCCAGACCCGATTTTATCTCCATTACCTCTTTTAACGAGTGGCACGAGGGGACTCAGATTGAGACGGCTGTTCCCAAAACGGGTCAAACCGTGTACCTCGACTATCTGCCGAATAAGCCGACCATCTACCTGGAGATAACTCGCAAATGGGCAGCAATATTTGGTGGAGAACGACAAAGATGGCAGGACTGATCATAGAGATAATTTATTGAAAATGATATGACCTACTGCTGGAAACTCAATTAATTTGTGAAATGGTCTTCAACTTGAAAATGATGGCTGGTTGCTTAAGAAATTTTTAATGAGGTAAAATCACAGTTGAGAAAATGACTCATTCACTATGTTAATTTTTACTTCAGTCACAATTTCTTTTAATTTTTTATTGTTTGCACTTCAACTATGAACTGTGTTATTTTCTGTTTACGTTAAATGGTCAAGTTATTTATTAGGATTTGAGCTTGAAAAATAATTCCAAGACATTCCAGTCTTCAATGCTAATATGGGCCTTATTGGTCCAAACAGTAAAGTGACAGAGTGGCTTTTTTGTTCTGTACCCATATTGTGAATGCAGAGAGTCTGTTCAATATTTTCTTTTCACCTTATTCGAGGTGTCTCACTGTGAAGCGTTTTGGAATGGCGCTTAAGCGTTTGCACGAATCCCTTGAATAAACTGATCAGATCCTGATGTGTCGAAAGTTGTCGTCACCTTTCAAAACCCCACAATCACAAGCACATCACACACAGTTCAAATTCCTGCCAGTGTCACAGTTGTTACAGCCCGCCTTCCTGTTTTGAACAGGTACAACACTATGAATAACAGACAGTTTCACACTCCTGCTTGGCTTGTGACATCGTTATCTGAGATGAGAAATTATTTAGGTGAAAAAAAAAAACTGGAAGCAATTTCAGTTTTAGTTTGCACTTGCTAGGCGTTCTCAGTATACTGGAATAAGTGCTTGTTGAAAAGGCCACAGCAGATTTATCAAAAACAACGTAGAAATCGTCAAAGTGTGCCAACCATCACTTTTTTCCTAAATCTCATGCTCCTTATTCTCAGTGCTATAGTGCTCCTAGTTTAACCTTAAGGATTTGTGCTGAATAGTGATCGAGCCAGCCATGTATAAATCAATGCTTTTTCTTGCAGTTTGTCTTTATTGTCTGCAAAATAACAGCAGCACATATGTTGGAATTAAAATGCCAAATGATGAGAGCTTACTTTTTAATTTGAGAGAGAAATTTATAACTTTGTACTGTTGGCGCTCAAAATATTTGGTTTCTTTCAAATGCAATTTGAGCTCCCCAAACCTGACCAACACAGAGACAGCAGTCTCTTGACAGACCTTCCAGCCAAAAACAATAATAGAAAATCAGGAACATTTATAATCTCAGTCATGAATTCATGTTTTCACAGTTTAATCTGTGATCAGTAATACAATTTTGCCAGCCTGATGGGCAGCTGAATAAAATCTTTCTGGAACTCAAATAATAACCACTTGGTGTTGGATCAGTATCAAAATGTCCAGTATCCCACACCCTTAGTGAGGAGGTGTGGTTGACCCCATTGCTAGGTGAAGCTGTGATTGGTTCTTCATCTTGTTGTTTAATAGCAATTGGCAAGCAACTCAATGGACCATTAGTGCTATCTCCTGGTAAGGAGCGTGGGCCAAATGTTGCCAAAAAAAAAACCCCAAAACAACCTCATATCCTATCAAACAAATTACACAACTTGAAAACACAGCATCAAAAACCAAAACAAAAAAGAAATCAACCTTTGAAGCCCAGTTTCGACAGCATGCACAGTTCTGTCCATTTTGCAGAAAATATCTCTCCTTTCTCAGTCTTTCCATCATCTTTTCTGCTCAACACTCAGTTAAAGTCCTCCTCATCACTGCTAACCCTTTGCTATGTTGGGAGGTGTCTCTGTGATTTCTTTCTAAGAAAAATCTTAGAATTTCAGAAATTGTAAGAACTTTCCTAAAATGACGACACAAGGAACTATTTTTCATCTTAAGATTTTTTGATGACGGCCCCAGGTCTTCTATCAGAGGTAGTGGAGTTCAAGGGTTTTTAAACAGTGAGCTGTTTCAAGGCTGTTTCTGGGCCATTGTTTAAAAGTCCTGCACAATACAATACACAATACAATCATCTAGGTTTTCTTGTTGATAAACTAATAAACTAATGATGCTCTTGGGCCTCTAGATAGGATGAAGACAACATACAGAAGTTCAAACTGAGCATCAAAAGGGAAAAGAAGGGGGATTTAAGTGACTTTGAATGTCCCATTATTGCCAGACAGCTTGTGCTGACTGTTTGAGGAACTAAACTAACATTTCAGGAAATTAGAGATGTTGTAAGGGGAACAAAAGGTCAAACCCTTTTCCAACAAGCTTTGACACAGGGAGATGAGTTGTCTGAAAAATACTGGGGGAAATATGCAAAAGTTGGTCAGCAATTATAACCATAGTTTGCTTTGAGACAAAATTTTTTCCCCCACTGATTAGTAAGCCTGTAATTTTTAAATAAAATGTGAATTAAAACCAGTAATTTTCCTTCAAATGAATACTTCTTTTACGCTGTTTTATTATCTTTTAAGACTACTGTGCCTCACTTACTGTCAAGAACACCAAATACTAACAGAGATTTATACAATTTTGGGCCTGTCTAAAATATGCTGGCAAAAGTACATTTTTAAGTGGGCCAAGTATATTTTCTGATCAAAATCAGCCGAACAGAGCAAGCCTGAAAAGCTAGAGCAACATTTTACAACCTAGGGCAATGATATGCTTCAGGAAAAGCAGTTTACTCAGGAAGTAAGGAAAGACCAATGACTTCAAGGTCATGTAATCAAGGACAATGTATTTCCACTGCATTCAAACGTCATACTGAGTGTAAGAATAAGATCTTCTCCTGGTTCTGCAAAAGATTTTCATTCGATTTCTGAGAAGTTGAGTTGTTTGAAAAATACTGGTGGAAATATGAACCAGTGACGACCTCTATTAAAACTGTGACATCCTCTATTTCAGACGACAGCTTTAAAAAATTTAACTGGAGCAATGTTTTAAGTTGTCACTTACTGAAAGGCCTATGTTGTCCATTTCACACTCCAGTGCATTTTCTTTCTGGTTCTGCATGTTGTTAAAACATTACCCAAAGTTTTTCGAAGTGATAGGAATGTGTGATGCAAAAAGAGTGTCTTTCATGAGCTCCACAGCAGAGGTCTGTGTGGGTCATTGTTCAGACGTGGAAGCTTTTTACATTCTTAATAGACTGCGCAATATTTTCACTCAATTTGAGACGCCTTCTCCCCATGCAGGATTTCATCCTTACTTTGAATCCCAGTCTCAACAGCATGTAAGTTGTCATTTTTATGCTACAATTCTTCATCTTTTGCCTATCAAGCATTAGCAGATCTTTTGTGACTGTAATTAATTTCCACTTGTTAAGACCAGAACATTTCTCATATTTTCTTTCCCCTTCTGTTCAATCTGAACTCTAGCTAGAAATTCTAGATTTATTGAGGATCAGGATTCATTAAGCTCCTCTCATGGCAAAACAGCAATGACAGATAAATGTGTGACCCAAGTGCCCAATGGGAGGTTGGAATGATCTAACACATTTGAAGCTTGATTCTGTTTTTAAATTTCTGCACTTTCAGTTTAGATCATTCATTTTGAAACCAGAGTCTAACAAGTCCTAAGCTGTAATCTGATCAGAAAGGACTTAAATGATCATTTAAAAAGCTTTCCCAAAGTTTCATGGGGAAAAATTACACATTTATGAAAGAACTTACATTTTAATCCTCTGTGGTCAGAGGTGCATTTATTATGCGTGAAATCACACGTCCACTTAATATTTACAAGAATTTTATGCACTGTTAACACAGTCGTTGAAGTTCATTACCATTACTGTGATTTTTTGTTTTGCATTGTCCAAAGGCCATGCAAAAGTATTTGCTTGAATTTACAACAAATGTTAGGTGGTAGATCACCTCACACCATAGATCATTATATTTTGGTCAATTTTTTTTCACAAAATAGTTCAAGTCCAGTCAGATCACATTTAATCTCTGAGCTGATTAGGTATTTTTACAAAACAATGAGCACCATACATAGACATTCAAGTCTATGTATATTAACATATTGGACTGATGCATTATAATAATAATAGCATTATTATTATTACAGTTCAGATTTTAATAAATGAAAACGTTGTCTCGTTTGCACTTCACGTGTTGGTATGTTAACTGACATCCCAATGAGACATACATAAGGTCATGATAGTAACCTGTCAAAAGGTGAAGAAAAAAAAAAAACATGCATGTTTACAGAATGCACAGTCTCTATTGAACAGAATATATATTTTTTTTAAATGCACCGCAGCAGCAGCATCCGCACATCCTCCAGCAGCACTGGCTGTAAACAGAACACGGGAGCGCATGGGCAAGACAGCAGGGAATTATTCCACATCGCATCACATCCCTGAGCATATATGGCGTCCTCTCTCACCGAGCCGCGAGTTTAATGTGCAGCAAATCGAGGCAGCCGCCCCCGCCTCCTCTCTCTCTCTTTCTCTCTCTCTCTGTCTTTTCTTTTTTCTTTTTGATTTAACCATTATTTATTTAATTAATTTGCAGCCACCATCTCCCGGTCGGTGCGCTGCAGAGGGAATGATGCGGCCAGCGTGCGTCGCCGCTTTATAGGTAGAGTCGTTCTCCTTTTTTTTTTTTTTTAATTTGTTTTGTTTGATTCCCCCCAGTCCTTACCCCCCTTTTTTCTCGAGATCAAGACGACGAATGCGGGTTCATCCCAACCCGCTGCTGCAAATACCCCAGCGGACTGCCTGATTTTATTTATTTATTTATTTATTCCAGGCGCATCCGCAGCTTCTCTGCGCGGTGCAAGGTGTCTTTGAACCTGAGACGGAGAAATCAGAGGAAGGCTCTGTTTTGACTCACGTATGTGGAGATGGTGAGTAGCCCCCTAAAAAAAACACATCCTCTGGTTGTTGTTTTCATTTATTTGCTTCTGGTGTTCAATTATTCGGCTAATTAGTAGTGATTTCTGCAGAAGGAGGTTGGGGGCTGGGGGGGAGGGGGGGGGTGGATGGACAGAGATTTACCGATCTTGGCGTCTCATTTAACTCCTGCATTTAAAAAAAAAAAAAGAAATAAATGCAAACATATTTCATTCACCAGACAATTTAGATCGTGCGCTCCCACCCTCCTAATGAATGGGACTTCTGTTTCCTTGGCCGTGTTGTTGTGGTTCCAGGCATTTTCAGCGTCACTCAGGCTTTTATTCTGGCGTTTGGGACTCAATTAACGGCGCTGTGTCAGTCGGCGCTTTGCACGATCCCAGTGATTTTCCGCTATCCGTGAACTTTACACAGTCAACCATGAAAAAGAAAGAAGAAGAAGAAAAAAAAGAGCGTCTCGAAAAGCGTCACGTTTTCAGAATGACCTTCACTGCTCGGTGGCTGGAGATGCGTTACTCCCATGGATGGAGAGCAGAGGCAAGTCTCAGGCGTCCTGTGCGGACACCAAGACCTGGCCTGTGCTTTGATGCGCATGAGTGCGTCTCAGTGTCAGTGAAACTATTTATTATTAATATTATTATTATTATTATTATTGAGGATATATGTCGAATTTGAAGCACCCTGTGGTCATACGCGGGGCAGTTAGAGGGAAGCTAAAGGGATCAGCTGAATGTGAAAAGGACTCCTCAGCAGTCCATGCTGCAGGCATGCACATCTCTACCCGGAGTTCTTATTCGGGTTTTTTTTTTTTCTTTCAGGGTTGATTTGAAATGCATCACACGTCTGATTCTCATAAGCAAAATTTAGGTGCATATGTGGCTTGTTCTCAATCCACCCGAGATCACAATTATATATATAAATCCTCAAATACAATGTGAACAATGTTAGGAGACATTTTCCTCACCAAAAACTGCAGAGAACTTAAGTGCTCATTGCAACCAGGGACTGGTAAGACTATCACTTCATATTTGACCTGTTCTTGGTAGACTTGATAGAGAGAACTTATTTATTTTATACAACATAAGTGTAACATATTTTATGTTGTAATTTATTAGTATTTTCTATTTTGTTTCAATAGCGGTATGTCATCCTCATGTTGGCTAAATACCCGGCTGCAGAAGATGAGAACATGGATGACCAATAACTTTTTCAAACTCTTGGCACTCTGCTGCGACTCAAATCCTCAGCATTTCCTTTTTAAAACCAGATTGTTGCTACTTCTCTCTCTTCTACTCTAAGTCAAAATTGTTCCCAACTTATTATGTCAGCAACACATTTAAGAACTTTGTAAGACTGTGTTCATTCATCTGACAATCTATTTCCGAACTCGACCTCTCCCCTTCTCCCTGAAAGACACAGAGAAGCTGGTCTGTTTCCTCCAGGCTGGACTATTGAAACACACCCATCTGCAGGATTCCTGTCCTTTAGCGTTCATGGACTCCAGTACATTCAGAACTCTGCCACACCAGGATCCTAGTTAGGAGACCCAAATATGACAACATCACCTTAATCCTCCATACTCTCTGCTGGCTCCTGTTAAAAAAGAGGATTCAATGCAAGCTCCAGCTGATCGCAGGCCAATGCACCAGGTTACCTGAAGAATCTCGTCAAATTCCCACAACCGTGACAAACCTCTGTTCTAAAGACACTGTTTAATCCCACAAAGCTCTGAGCTGCACGCGACAGAAGGCAGAACCTTCCAGGCAGCAGATTTATGGCTGTGAAAAGCTGTTGAAAAGTTGGAAGTCCTCCTTGCCATCACCCTAATCTCTGGTTCCCTCCAGACAGGGAGGGAACCAAAGATTTGATGCAAGAACTGCATCAAATTCAAGTCAATATTCTGGGTGGGCCACTACTAAATGTAATATTACATCCAGTCAGGAGAAACATGCTGGTAAAATTAAAGATCCTTTAAAACTTAAATCTCCCAGCAGTTTGTGATTATCTCTGTAGTGCAACTGCTTTGCATCTGAAAAGCTGATAGTATCATATTGTTGCAAAATAAAGGCATTAACACAATCCAGCGACAAAAACAATATTTTGCAGCATCAGTCAAACATTTTAATATATTTGATCTCATCCTGCGGCAGAGGTTCAGTGAAGGAGTCTGATTTGGTTGAGTCGGTGAATAATGACAGAGCTCCTTCTCGTCTTCTCTAATTTTCCTTCTGACTCAAAAACTGGGTCACAATTTTTCACACACCGCTTACGTGCAACTCCAAAGAATGTGAGTTACAAAGATGTCTGTGTAGATTTTATGTGTGGGTTACATGAAGAAATCACGCATTCAAAGAAACGGCGAAGAAGGGTGAGAATTAATGCAGAATCCTGACTTAAAACATCTGTAATGGAACTAATGTAGAAGCACTATTCATATTAAGACCGATACAGTAAACCTGGAAAAAGTAGGGCAAGCACTACATTGGACAAGATAATGACCTAAAAAAAGGGATTTTTATGGCAAAGAAACTGTGTATCTTTAACTGGTCAAGAAAGTTGTCCTAACAAAGGGAGATGATGAAAACAAAGAAATATTCATTTTGTTGATGAGCTGCTTCAAGAAAGATAAAGGTACACACTTCGATATGCTTTGGTAGGAGCTTCAGCTTTTGACCACAGGAAAGTGTTTTTTATATATATATATACTTTCAGATCAAACTGCAGATCAAAATAACCAATTGACGTTCCTTTTTTGTAGTGAAATCTGTTCGGCACAGACACTCATTACAGAAAAAGAATAAGCCACAGATGAAACCAGGTGCCGACATGCACTATGTAAAAAGATACATAAGAGTTGTTTGATAATAAATTGGACCAAACTTTTTCCACTTTAGAGCCACTGAAATGTCCAAAATTATTTCTATTAAATATAAGCCAGAATAATGGGGAAGAGATTTTTTTGAGATTAGGAATTAGATATCAGGAAGAAATTTGTGGAGCTCCATTCTACAAATGGAAACAGAACAGGATTCAACATGGACTGAAAGGCGACTCAGCAGGGGTAAAGTCAGATAGCAATTGCAAAAATGCTATATATATATATATATATATATAGTAAGCTAAAATGAAAATGCTTAGCAATAATGACAATGCTTGTATTTAGAAGGGGAAAAAAGAGGTAAACTCTGTCTGAACCATGAAGTGTGGGCATGACATTATGATCATACGTGTGGTACTTTATCAATGGACCAGCGCAGTTCACAAAATGATAGGAAGAATCTTGTGTGGAAATATTAAAGCCACATCTGAAGCCAAATTCTGGTACAGATGGGCCTTCAAAAATATCTGCTATGTTGGCCTTACAGCACCTGTAGAACATTTCCTGGTTCAGAAAACGTGTTTATCTTTAGTCGCATTGATTACTGCAACAGAGCCTTCAGAAGTCTGCCTAAAAAATCAGTCAGACATCTGGAGCTGGTCCAGAACACTGCTGCCCACGTCCTCACTGAAAATCAGGAAGGCAGAGCGCATCACCCCAGTTTTAAAATCTGTATGGTGGCTCTAGAGATTGCTGCTGTTTGTCTATAAATCACTAACGAAACAGCTTAGCACCACATTAGAGCTGTTTGTCATTGTAGCACTCTGGTCTGTTCTGCATTGCCAGAACCAGAACCAGAACCAAACATGGAGAAGCAACATACAACTTCTATGTGCTTCAAATCTGGAACAAACTTTGAAAAAACACAGAGTTCCTTTAGATCAAGGCTAAAATGTTGATTTCAAAGAGTTGCTTTTGACCCATAATCACTGGAACATTTTTGATGTGTGCTAATTTATTTGATGATTGTCAAAATGTAATGTTTGTGTCTGATTTCACAACTGGCGACTTTATGATGTTCTTATGATGTGAAACACTTTGAATTGCCTTGTTGCTGAAATGTGCTGCACAAATAAACTCTACTTCACTAAATATATACCAAACCTGTTCATACATCCAAATTAGTTACAAACTGACCAGGGTTTTGGAGGCGCCATCGCAAAACCTTGACCTCTGAACACTGAAAAATGTGTGTGAACAAGGTAGCCCAGAAACCTTTCACAGATGTTCAGTCAGAAGGAATGGGCCAAAGTTTCAGCAAACGTTATGAGAAAATTGTGGAAGGTTCCCAAAACGTTTGACCCAAGTTATGCAATTTGAAAGGTGATACTACCAAATTAAACATTATAACCTCTTAACTGCAAGAATAAAAAGAAAAAATATCTATTATTCTGGAATTTAGCAAATGGAATAAATCAGAGCGTGTATTTCAACCCAGGTTTTAATTCAAATTAAAATATTCCTTTTTACCCTGGAAAAACTGTATTTAAATGGTCTCAATATTGACAGTGGCTTGCAGCAGTGAGGATGCACAAACTATACAAGAACTATTAATTTTTTATATTTGTTTGTGTTTGCAAAGGACCACAGCATTTGCATTCCTGGCATTTTGGTGCGAGGAAATCTCTTTTCATATTTTTATCTTTGTCACAGCAGTGTCCCTGAGTGCAGAGGAAGTGTAGAAGTTATCAGCGCTGCTCCTGTTAAACTGCTTTGATCGTTTTCCTTAAGAGCTGATTATGCATGTGTATAGATAGTGCAGGAGCAGAAATGGATGGTTCAGGGATGTGAACTGAAATGCAGATCTTGCAACTAGACACTGAGATAAAATATCTGGACCAAGAGTTCTGACATCGGCATTCTACCTGTGCAGTGAATACAGAATATATAACTTGTGAATGCATTGTAAAAATAATATTACTTCCTTGGAAATGAATGCTTATCTTTTTCTCTCTTGCTATTTTGTTGTAGTGACAAGCTGAGTTTAAGCCCTGTAATTACATTTGTCTGACAGTTAGCATTAGGCCAGAAGCCATAAACGTATCTTTTCAACAGACTTTGGCTCTTGGCTTAAAGCTGAGCTTCTACTTTTAACAATCTAATGTACTTTATTGTACTTAATATACATTTCTGCTGCAGTAAATCAAGATTTGCAGATTAAAATAATCGTAAAAAATGTAGTCCTACTGTTTGTGAAACATGATACAACAGAACTGACCCTTACATACTTTTTTACCGTTTATGATTAATAATTATTGCCTGTAAAGGAATTTCTCTTTCACTAGAATAAAGGTATAGGTATTTACACCGTGTTCCAAATTATTATGCAAATCAGATTAAAGTGTCATAAAGATTACATTTTTTGTTGTGCTATTAAATTTATAGATAGTACTTCCTTGATGGCGATGTTTTGTGTCTAGAAAAAGAAAAAGAGTCATATCGAGAAATGATATGACTCTTTTTGATGTAGATCTGACATGTTTCCTCTGTTTCAAGGTTTTGGACAAGCATCTGCTGCAGGGTGGTTCCCATCAGGTAGCGCTGCCTCTCTTTCCCTGTAGTGTCGGGTGTGGACGATGATGAGGATGTTCCTGAACAGACGCAGACAGAGCGAGCATCGTCCTGGACGCAGACTCCAAAAGACGAAACTTTCCAGAAGCCGGAGAATTCTTGTCATTTCAGACGACGCTCTGAGAGGCAGCGTTCATCTTCCTCTTCTGACAACGACCGTAAGAGAGAAGGTGAGGCGTCAACACACTCTTCTTCTGCAGACCTGTACTCTTCTGTAAAACACAGCCAGACCATGTGATAGATGCTTTCCCATTTCTGAGCTTTGCCAGAGTTATAGGGCTGGTCTTCTCTGGCATTTGTGCAGTTAATGGATATAAAACTGATAGTAATTTGGTTTACTTCATTTTACACAAGAAATCTTTTCAAAACTTTGCCCTATCTAAACTAGATCACAACTAGATCACAACGTTTCATTGGAGATTAAGATTGGATTTTATTGCAGTTAATGTAAGTGTCATATCATTTTACAATGAGGAAAATATTTTGAGTGGATCCCAAGAGGGGAACAAAATGTGTCGACAATAGAATATTTTATGAACACCCTATAATTTCTGAGAAATGCACCAACGGGAAAGGAAAGCACAGAGTTTGTCCCGGGTTGGATAGACCAGAACAAAAAGCTCTCGTGGTCGACCCAAAAACGATGATCTCTCCTTATCACCATCATCAGCTCTCCTGGATTTTTTAATCCCTCACAACAACATCAAATGTTTTAATCCTATGTTTCTGTAAATTTTCTTTTTATTTTGTCCTCTCATACATTTGATCTTTGTTTTATGTTGTGATTGTTTTGCATCACAAAGCTTTCCAACACCAAACTTGTTATGGTTATGGAGTGATGCTGCAAAGCTGGTGACATACGGTACCAAAATGATAGGGTTGGAATGAGATTCCCAATCATAATGAAATGGATCGAAGACAGCAGAAAAATGCACATTACTATGATTATCAGTGTAAAATTTGATGATATTTAGATTCAGGAGGTTATCTGTTGAACATTGGCAGTAATATTACCATTGTTTACTTTGTTCAACAATCTGTTTTAAATCCTTTTTGGCTGGCAGAGGTCTGTCCATGTTTTAAGTGTTCTTAATAAATGTCAAAGATTTCTTCTCAGAACGAAGAGTTTTATTTGAGAAGCAAAATTCATTTTAGTTTCAAGTCTAAAGTTAGTAACGGGTGTAAACATTAGAGTAACTCTTCTGTTTACTCTGCTGAGATATTGCTTGTGAAGATTTTCTGCTGACAGTCAGAAATAATGGTCTAAATCAAGCAGGAGAACAACACAAGAAAAATGCTGTTCTCTCACACCATCTTTTTTTTATTGTCTTCATTTTCTTATAGCATCGCTTTCATGATCTTAAACTCTAACTTGGAATACCCAGACATATGACTCAGTGTTAATGCCTCAGTGACAGAACCATCTTCCTGAGTTGCATATTCCCAAACTAAACAGGAAGTTTATGCTCTAAACCAATGATCACGTTATAGTTGGGATGCTTATTTGGATCAAGGTCATTTTCTCGTGTTCAGCTTTTTTAAATGTACAACCACAAAGTTGATTTCAACACTGAAGGCGCTGCAGAAATTTCCAACAAACGCTTGTTGAGGTTCTTTATGTGATAAAAACTTCTTTCACTTCCTTTCGAGGCATGGGGTTGCATGAAAGGAGAAGAAAGCATCAGACCAAGAGATTTATTTGGTTTCATAAAGCTTAAGTTGAATTTTTTGACAATGTTTCTGAAATGTTTGTTTGGGACTAAAACAATAGTGAGCATCACCAACAGAATCATATGCAATGAAAACATGCTAAACGGAGATGACATGCAAACAACAATCACTTGACTTTCTGCATTACTGTCATGGGATATTACGCAATAAGTCAAGTGTTTTTAGTCTTTTGTATCACATCTAAAAGCAGGTTACTATCCCACACAGTAGCAATCCATGAGATTAAAACCTCAGCAAATTTTATGAATGATGGATCTGAAACAAAGCTGCTGTTTTGATCCGGTGTGTATTTACTCTGATGAAATGAAATGGTTATGTTCTGCATTAGTCATGGCAACACATTTCAAAACATAAGAGGCTAAACTGGCCAAATGCATTGCTGTGAACTAATATGTAGTCAAAGCAGATGGATAGTGTCTTCACCTTTGTATCATCAGAAATAACATACATTTCAAGCCCTACAAGGATGTCCAAAACCATTTACCATTTATAGCAGTCAATAGGCACAACAGTGTTCCAGTTTGTGAGTCCTGAGCCTATGACGGCTTAAAGTGATTTCTGTTCCAAATCTAAACAACAACACTTGGATTAAAATAATCACTTCAGCTTGTAAAATGTTTTGGTTCCAACAAGCAATCCATATATTTTAAAGGTTTAGCTTAGCTCTACAATATAGTTTGTCATTTTTTACATGCTTATCTGTATGTTTGTCAAACTCGTACATGATAAGCTTCAGCTTTGTATAATATGCAACAAATATGTTGCATATTATACTATCACAACGTCCTGACGGTACAATATGCAACAAATAATCTGTGACAAAATCCAAAGTCCTCTGCCTCCTGTGGTACTGCCATGACAAAAAAAGAGCCAGCAAGAGTGTCTTGGCAGTGCCAATCATGCCCATGTATGCACTGCACACACCTCTCTTGCTCATCATTTCCAGTAACGATGGGTTGCTGGTGCTATTAATGGCAGAGAAACAGCATACCGTTACAGGAAAACTGTTTATCCACCATTATTAGTGGCCATGCTTACTAGCCTATGTATTCATGACACATTATTCTCCTTGCCGTGGGGAAGGAGAGCAAGTGGGAGGGTTTCATTTACCACAGCATTAATGGAAAGGTTGTTTTAATAACTTTCAAACCGCTGTCATGCATGCTTGAGTGAAAAGGCTATGTCCATAAATGTCTAAACACAGTGGTAGGCCAAGGACCAATGATGAAATCACAAATATAGCAAGTCAGGTTAATATTTACACGTCCTTTATGTTTGATCAGATCATAATCATAATTGCACCCAGTCCAGTTTTATTGTTAAAATAAAACTGGTCACAGTCCATGTCTAGCAGAAGGCAATACAGTAAGATAGCAGTGAAATAATCAAACAGCCCCTTGGCATGATTTAACCATCACTGTGTTTCAAAGTTCACAACCTCTTTGTTTCCTCCAAACATTCTTCTCATTTTTTGCCTAGTAATCCAAGCTTTCTCTGCAAATATTATCTAAATATTCTAAATATGAGTGTATTTGGGCTTCTATGTAATATTTTGTTCAGAAATTTGAACTTGACTACTTAATCCTTTTTTTGTTTTGTTTTCAGTCTCTAATGTTTTATGTTATAAAATCACTCAACCCTAGAAAATATAACTCAAACACATGCATTAAATGGGATAATTTATATTACTTTCATGGCCACCGTAAGTGTATGTGAACATTTGACCATCACTGTGCCTCTGCATGTTGGTTTCACACAAATTGTAGAGTTTTTTTTTCCCCCTTTAAATTTTTAATTTGTCCTTTCTCTTTATCTTTTTCAATATTCTTGTGAAGAAAGTATCCCTAGGAAGACCTGCTGAGTCGAGACCAGTCAAACCTCTTTAGGTCATCAAGGACCTGTTTTATTCTTCTAAAGTTCAAAGAAGCATCTCTCTCTGCAGACCGTCAGATTTATTGAAAGAGCACAGATTCATAAAGGGCTTTGCGTGGATCTCAGCATGCTGCCAACAGGTCTGTAAAGCACAGTGAACGAAGAAGCATCACTGTTCAGTTACTCCATAATATCTAATGTGTTGTGCTGTGCAGGATACATTTGCAAGACAGCTGTTATTCAATAGAGAGTGAAATGAATTAATGCCAAAACTGAGACAAATCTTGATATTGAAACCTTTTGATTGTTTTTTTTTTTTCTCTCTTTTCTGTGCTCTTCTCAGGACAGAGCAAGCCATCTGGAACTTTTCACAAAATCCTTCGACCGCTTCTGTTCAGTATTTTTATTCTCGGATGTTTTGTGACTGCCTTCTTGATGTATTTTAAGCCATCCACCAGCTGGTTAAATGGTCCATTAGAGTCATCTGATTCCTCAAATCATGTCAAGCATGTCTTTGCAAAGAGTGACAAAAACATGACTACAGTTCTTGTTTGGCTGTGGCCCTTTGGACAAACCTATGAAATGAACATCTGCAGCTCTGCCTTCAACATTGAGGGCTGCTTCATCACAGCGGATAAAAACTTCTACAACAAATCGGACGGGGTCGTCATCCATCACAGAGACATTGCTGGGGACCTGTCCAACTTGCCGACATCCCAGCGTCCCCCGTTCCAGAAATGGATTTGGATGAACTTGGAGTCGCCGTCGCATTCAGCCCAGCTTCCTGGGATTAATAACTTCTTCAATCTGACTCTCAATTATCGTCAGGATTCTGACATCCAAGTGCCTTATGGGTCTATCGTGGCAGCAGATACTGTGGAGGACTTTGTACCGCCAAGCAAAAACAAACTGGTCTGCTGGATCGTCAGCAACTGGAATCCTGAACATGTACGAGTGAAATATTACAACGAGTTGTACAAACACATTGAAGTTCATGCGTATGGACATGCATTTGGGGAGTACATCGCTGACAAAGATTACATCCCCACTATGGCCAGCTGTAAGTTTTATTTGTCCTTTGAGAACTCAATCCACAAAGACTACATCACTGAAAAACTTTACATCCCCCTCTCTGTGGGCACAGTGCCAGTGGTTCTTGGCACAACCAGAGAAAACTATGAGAACTTTGTTCTAGGAGACGCTTTTATCCATGTGGATGATTTCAGCTCACCCAAAGAGCTGGCTGACTATCTGCTTCTTCTGGACAAGAACGAAGAACTGTACCTTGGGTACTTTCAATGGAGACGGCACTTTAAAGTAAACAGAGCCCATTTCTGGGCGGAGCACACATGCCAGGCTTGTGCTTACCTGAGACAACACAAAGAATACAGGGCATTCAATAACCTTAACAAGTGGTACTGGGGCTGATGGTGCTTAGATGGACTATGCAGCACTCATCACCTCTCTATAAGGTGGGACTCAGCACAAAGAAAAAAAAACAATTACTTGGTGAGACAAACATTAAGTTGAAAATTTAGATGTAATATTTAATTCAGGCCTTTTCGAAATACCATCTCATTTGTGATTGTGAAGATGTCACCTATGCAGAGCACTGAAGTCAAATGTGAAGGTAGTTTAACACTGTCGTGCATAATTTGGGAAATCTGTAGCTGTCTTTTAACATTCGTTTACATTTGCACTGCAAATCTAAAAGATGCTTCTCTTCACATTTTGTGAAGACTGATCAAGGATCGTAGTAGTAATTACTCACAGGGAGCGTCTCATTATGAGCATTGTCCAAGTCTTGACATAAATGAAGAAAATAAGTAAGGAGTATGGAGACTATCTTCCTTTCTTATACCTGCTTTTTTCTGTTTGATGTCTTGTTTCATTCTATCCTTCAACACTTCCTTGTTTTCTTAAATCTTTTTTTTTTTATTTCTTGTATTCTAGGTTCTCTTTTGACTTCCTTTTCCCTTCACTCTTCCATCTCTTCCTCCTTTTTTAATCTTCTCTGTTTGAGTCCTTCTTTTCATTCTTCATTCTTCCTTTCTTTCTTTCTCTCTTTCTTTCTTTTTAATTGTGGCTCAGTTTCCATGACCTTCTGAGTATTTCCCCTTGTGTTTAAATCCAAATACTCAAAGGCAAAGAAAAGATACATCTCCAAGAGGTTACAGAAGGAAATGAAGAAAATTTTGCGGTAAATCCTTTGAACATTAAGTAAACCACTACACTCAGGAATCATTTCATCCCTATTAAACTGGTGACAACAACCAAACACACAATCTTGACTTCTCTGAAAACACACCAATGAACTAGTGTCAACATTTATCAGGACTCCAAGCATACTGATTACTTTCCAGACTAAATGTGACAAACTCTGAGACAGCTGTGCAAATGTCTTCTTAATGGCATCGGCCAATTAATCACAGAACTGATGATGTCACGACAACATGAACCAACATTTGTGTTTGTTTTGTCTATTTTGAAAGAAAATGATGTCTCATCAGGTTATCCCTGTGATTTTGAACATCTTTGTTTACCAGTTTTGTCAGTCGATATGAATCGGGCTGCTTTCGGTAACAACCAGGCAAAAGCCAGTACAACTCCAGAAAATGCAAAGCCTTTGAGATGGCATGACTAAACAGTTGTAAAAAACAAAAGACAGTTTTTAACCTGCCTGCACCTCTTCCAAACCAAATAATGTGTCACGCCAAAAGTCAAGAGTAATTCGTAGTTCAGTAGGATGTCAAGTTATTGAGCAAACATTCTCTAAACTAAATTCAGTTCAGGTAGAGGATTTTTTTTTTTTTGCAATACAAACCAACTTTTGAATTAAAACTCTGAAGTGATCGGCTGCAACATTCATCTCATTGTAGCTAACATCTCAGTTTACAGCAGATGACAGTCAGTTCGTTCCAAAGGAGCCTCCAACTACAGCATAAAATCAAAACATGGTTGAGTCCATATGCTGTGCTTCTCTGCAATCTCAAAATAAAGCCTCAAATATTTATTTATAGATAAAGTTAAATACAGATTTTTGAATGGAAGTTTTTTCCAAAACCGTTTTGTTCTGAATTAAAAATATTTCATAAATCATCCATATTTTTTCTCTGTGACTCATCAGAGAGTCAGTAGTTGAAAGCGGGTTTTGTGGTGCTTTTTCCCTTTCTTGCATGTAGCACAACAGAACAATTAAGATCAGTAACATGATCATATTACTTTTAGATCTCCTTTGAAAAGCTGTAAATTGGATTCAATCATCACGCATCATTAATGTTTAGACATTGAGTTTTTCATTTAATTTTTAGTTCTGAGCAAAAACCATGTGAACATTTTATGCAAGTTGAACTGGCAGCTTTCTTTTGGGTCAATGCCTGAAATATATATATATATATATATATATATATATATATATATATATATATATATATATATATATATATATATATATATATATATATATTGGTGTGAATTGAACACTTCTTCAATACCACTGGGACCAGCATGTAAAGTATCATGAGCTCAGTTTTATACTAAACTCTGGTTACTAAAATCGATATTGAAGCAAGTGCATACGTGACATAAACTGAATGGTTCCACTTGATGAAACGGGGCTGTGACATGAGAGTATCAATCCAACTCCATTAGCGAAAGAGCAGCATAATATGTTGCAAATATTTTTAAAGTTAAAATGTCTTTATAACGATGTTATGAAGCTGAATGAAATTCTTCTGTATCCTCGTGGGCGATGTTTTGAGGAATTAAGAGGCGATACACCGAGGTAAACACTTGAAGTAAAAATACAGATCAGAGACGATGCTTGTAGTGCCAGAGGATGGGAGCATGTGTGCGTGTGTTTGTTTTTTTTTGTTTGTTTGTTTTTTGTCATTCAAATGTTTTTGAATCATTTGGAAATCCTGCTGGCATCACCTCAGAAAGAAAAGTGTGCCACAAATGCAGCACAGATATAGCACTTTTATTTATGTGAAGTTGTGTAACTCACTGTGCTTATGGGTTGTCTTAAATGGAGCTTTTTGAGTTTATAAGCAAGCCTGTCCAACAGAAGCTTTTGTTTACGGTTTTATAATGTATAGTTCTTCCTCTTTTATGAACATGAAGCTTTTTGGTCCAGTGTGGTCGGTAATTTTGCACAAATGGGGTTTCTGTTGTGAATGTTGTTTGTCCCATTCATCCTTTCTTCATTTCAGATACAATGGGCTGTAGAGTGTTTGGGATCAGAAGGTAAATCAGGAATTATCTTGTTAATTTCCAGGTATGGAAATCAAAAACATCTTGTGCTATGAATGGGATCAAATCCCTTATGTGTGGTTTCTACTGAAATTACAAACAAAAACAACAAAAAATCTGCCAATTTACTGAGACATTCAGTGAGTCAGAACAAGTTTCTTTGCCAAATCATTGTATTTTGCCAAATGTGTTCTAACTGTAGATGTCTGCTAGTATAATGGAGAGAATAAAGATATGGGTAAATCAATAAACCTCTATGGTGTCACCTAATGTTATATTTACACAAACTGTGAAATAAGACACACAAAATGACACTAAAACAAACTAGACCTGTCCTATTTTAAACCAGTCAGGATTACCAAAATCATTTCAATTTGCTAAACATATTGTTTTACTCTGTTCTATGAAGTAGAAGAATATATGGTCCATTTATTTCTTAGAATCTTGGCTCTTTGTCCATGTGGTTTGAGTTCCTTTCAACAAGCTTCTCACAATAGTTTGCTAGAATTATGTCCCATTCCAGCTGACAGAATTGGTGTAAGTAATTCCTATTTTCCACTGAGCAATTTGGTACGCTATTGTGTCTGCTTTCGATGAAACCAACCCATATTCCACCATTGCTGGGCTCCCTTCTGTTGTTGGTCCATAGGATAATGGTACAGTGATGTCAGGAGTGTGGAGCCACGGTGCAGATTTGTTGTCGCACTAGTGTGACACAACGGTATGTTTGGGCATAATCCCACCTGTCCACTGAGAGTCCAACTGGCAGTGGAAATATTCTGCTGAATACCAAACCACACTGACCCATTCCATGTCACTTAGTGAAAATGGGGGCATAGATGAGATTTGTAAGCTTGTACCTTGGGCACACTAGCTATCTTTCGATTGAATTGTCAAGTAAAAGAAATGCAAATTAAGGATTTCAATCTTCTTGTTTGGAGCATGACTGCCAGGCTTATGCAAACCAGAAAAATGAGAAGCTATCCAGGACAAATGGCTGGTTTATTCAACCTGTCATTGAATAAATTTAACTTTTCTGTTTTTGTGTATAATACCTGGACACGTTGTAAATGTTCTGTTGTGCCAGCATGACAAATTAATAATGATGCAAATCTAACACACGCTGACACTAAAACAACTGATCAGTTATGTGAGGTAGATGTTCATTACATCAGAACTTATGTGGAATGTGTTTCCATTGCCCTTTTGTACATTGACTCTTTTTTGGAAAGCCAAAAATTACTTAAAATGAACATAAAACTGCAAAATTGAAGAAGTTATTTCAATGCTAAGACACAAACCCTTAGCATAAACCACAGACATGCACTCCAGTATCGTTCCGATATACTCAGCTGGCGTACTGAAACCACTGCTGCTACCAAGAAAGAACATCAGCAGCTATTCTCTGAGGAAGCTGAGGAGTTTAGGGTTGAACGCGGACATCTTAAGGCTTTCACAGTAGCTGTAAGATGGAGACTGTCCTGTCTCACCGTATGGTATGGAGGCTGCACAGAAGAAGGCTTTGCTTTGCAGCGCGTGGTTAATTTGGCGCAGAGAACCAACTTGTCATCCATAGCAGATATCTACACCACCAGATGCAGGGACAGAGCCTCCTCCATCCTCTCTGACAACACCTACAGCATCCACGAAATGTTCCTTCCACTGTCCTCTGTAAGGATCCCTGCAAGGACATCTAGACAAATTTACCCATATAAAGGAAAAAGTGAGAAATGATTTCTAAATGAATTAAGTTCCAACATGAGCCAGTTTTCCACAGTACAGTGGAGAACGAACTGACAGTCTATAGTCCCTTCTATTTGCATTTTAAAGTTGCTTTGCTGAGCTCAGATGAGATGCTGCAGAAACTTGTTGTATATCTGCCATGCCTGCAAGAAGAAGCACAAGACAGGCCGACAGATACACACAACTACACACACACACACACACACACACACACACACACGCACACACACACACACACACACCTGAAAATACCCCTGGTTGATATAAAAACTGGTCATTTGAATAAACTTTACTTTCTGTGTTTGCATATTTTTCCTATGAGCCTCTTTGGCTAAATAGAAAAAGTAGTTATCTTGCAATTAGAAATGCCAATAGACTATTTGGATATTGTTTAGACATCATGCTTATTGATTATACCGACTGTTTCTGATCCTAAAATATAAAAATCTTGAACTACATCAACATTCATCCATTTCAAGCACACCCTTTTCTGTAAAATATAAAGGAATAAAGAACTGACAAATGAATCTCGTACTACTAGCCTCAATGATAATACAGAGGAACTTGTTAACTTCATGACGAAGAGCTTTGCATAAGGGGAAAAATGATGAGCAACAAAACCAGTTGTTGCGGTAAAGTAAAAACAACGCATCAAAAATGCTCCAAAGGATATTCAAATCCTAAATGTCAGCATGTCTTCAGAAAAATAAACAGAAAATAAGAGAGGTCTAACTCTCTTTAAAAGTTTGAGTTATCCCATAAACCGTAGCATTTCGTTACTTCTTCAGCTCTAACCCTGCACCAGCCAGTTCTTATCTCATCTCACGGCTGTTGGATTCACCCAACCAGACCTGAATTCCTCCCCAATTCACAGAAACAGCCTCAGGAGACAAGTCTGTTTGCTTTCACTGGCTACAGGTTTGTGCAGTTCAAAGTATTTTTTTTTTTTTAATGAGGAGGAAAACCAGCATGATAAAAATACACCTGCTCCTCCGACTTTTGGTGAATCATCATAACTGGTGTCTTATAACTCACCGGAAACAAGGTGAAGTTTACTTTAACTGAGAAAACTCACCCCCAAAACACAGGACCTTACAGGAGGCTTTATTCAAGGCATTGTTTAATTCTTCTTGTTTCAAGGTGTTGAAAAACACCATGCACATAAAAAGGAAAATTGACCCCAGGTGGCTCCACCCTTGTATTCATTAAGAGTCGGGCATGGACAGTGAGGAGGATGTTCCGAAAAAATGAAACAAAAATGTCAGCGTCTTTCCTGTTCCTCCGACTTTTGGTGAATCGTCATAAGTCCAAACAACTCCCTGGGAAACTGCCTGAATCTTCCTTGACTGCCCATTAAAGGTAAGAAAAAACGGACACAGCTTCAGAATTATACAAAAGATATGGATCTTCTTTTCTTGTTTCCTAAAACACAGTAGAACTGCAGTCAATGCTTATGTGTTTTTTTTAGCTTGAATTTGTTGGACTGAGTGTCTCCATTATTCATACCTCTAAAGGATGTCAATATTTATGTGTGAACTGACTTACATCATCAGTTGATCAGTTGTGGAAAACTTGCTTTCTATGGTAAATAATTTGGCAGTGTTGACAATTAAGCACTTTATAGATGCTGATACATTAGCAAGTATATGGGTTTACTTATTAAACGTGAAAAAAAAATGGACTTAGCTGTTTTGGATTTAGTGTCCATTATATGTGAGTAAATGACAAAAGTCATATTTACGAACTTTAACAAGCAGAGCAGTTTCTGATACGGTAAACTCAGTCCAGTTAAACCTGTTGAACAGTAACTGTGTGTCATTTATGATTCCATTAGAAAACATCGTTTGGATCAATGCCAGAGGAAAAATATGTACAAATCTGAATTAATTATTAGTATAAGAGGGAAACAATTGACCAATTGAATATAGTTTGTCTGCTTCTATCAATGGCCATGCTAACTAGCCTGAGCATTCATGCTCGGTTCTATGGTGAAGAACCATAGCGAAGCAGAAAGAAAATGGGAGGGTGTGAGATTGAGAACAAAAGGGTGACTGTATGTTTTTGACAAAACATTAAACATTTCCTTTTAAATTAGCAACAGTTTGCCTGCCTTTCTCAGAACTTCCTCGGCGGCAGATTTTGTGGTGGACTTTGTACCACCAAGGAAAAACAAACTGGTCTGCTAGATCGTCAGCAACTGGGGTCTTAATCACGTAAGGTGAAAATATTACACTGAGTCGAGAAACCTTGTTAAACTTCAAACGTATGGACATGCCTTAGGAAATATCTCTCTAAAAATGATTACATCCCAACTATGGCCAGTTGTAAGTTTTATTTGTCCTTTGAGAACCTAAATCATAAGGACTACGTCACTGAAAAGCTATACTTCCCCT